TAGTGAGGCCTGTAACCTGGCGACCACATCCGGTGGGAGCTCGTACTCAGGAAGGTCAGTGAGACCCAGCCTGGTGTACCTGAAAAACCACACCAAGTGGGAGCTACTTCCAGAAGTTAGCTCTTAAGAACTCTTAAAGTGGGACCCGAGGAAAGACCGGGGTCTGAGCCACATAAGAAGGGACCGAAGCATACTGCGCGTGACCCTCACCATAAGAAATGGATTTTAAAAAGTGCACAGGACATCTCGTCGGGTGACTTACCACAATAATAGGTGAAGTATGGGTTTGTGTACTTCACTCTGAATTCAGGAAGGCCTGGTGAGGCCTGTAACCCAGCAACCACAATATGTGGGAGCTCATAACCAGGAAGGCCTGTTGAGGCCTGTAACCTGGCGACCACAGTGTGTGGGAGCTCATGACCAGGAAGGCCTGGTAAGGCCTGTAACCTGGCGACCACATTGGGTGGGAGCTCGTACTCAGGAAGGTCAGTGAGACCCAGCCTGGTGACCACAACCTGTGGGAGCTTACTCCACCAAGTGGAAGCTACTTCTTCCAGAAGTTAGCCAGAGAAGGGCGTCCCTGTAGCCAGTGACAGGACGCCACTTAAAGTGGGACCCAAGGGAAGACCGGGGTCTGAGCCACATAAGAAGGGACCGAAGCATACCACGCGTGACCCTTACCATACAAAATGGATTTTAGAAAGTACACAAGACATCCCGTCATGTGATTTACCACAATAATAGGTGAAGTAGGGGTTAGTGTACTTCACTCTGAATTCAGAAAGGCCGAACTTGAGGCCTGTAACCTGGCAGCCACAACAAGTGGGAACCCATAATCAGGAAGGCCTGACAAGGCCTAACACCCGATAGTCCCAATGCATGGGGAGCTCACATTCAGGAAGGCCGCTGAGGCCTTCAGCCTGACATGTGAAGACTCACCACTACAACTTAGCGACCACGAAAAGTGGGGGTTTCACATTCAGGAAGGCCTGGTGAAGCCTGCAACCTGACATGTGACAACTCACAACCAGGAAGGCCAATGAAGCCTGAAGCCTGGTGACCACAGAGTGGGAGCAAAGTGCTCAGGGAAGGTGGTGAGGCTGTAGTCTGGCTACCGCATCATGTGGGAGCCCACATTCAGGAAGGCTGGGTGAGGCCTGTAAACTGACTACCACAGTATATGGGAACTCATAACCAGGAAGGCCCCTTTGAGGCCTGTAACCTAGCAACCACAATGTGTGGGAGCTCATCACCAGGAAGGCCTGGTGAGGCCTATAACCTGACCACCACAGAAAGTGGGAACTCATAACCAGGAAGGCCCCTTTGAGGCCTGTAACCTAGCAACCACAATGTGTGGGAGCTCATAACCAGGAAGGCCTGGTGAGGCCTGTAACCTGGCGACCACAATGTGTGGGAGCTCATAACCAGGAAGGCCTGGTGAGGCCTGTAACCTGGCGACCACAGTACGTGAGAGCTCGTATCCCGGTGACCACAGTATGTGGGAGCTCATAACCAGGAAGGCCTGGTGAGGCCTGTAACCTGGCGACCACAGTATGTGGGAGCTCATAACCAGGAAGGCCTGGTGAGGCCTGTAACCTGGCGACCACAGTATGTGGGAGCTCATAACCAGGAAGGCCTGGTGAGGCCTGTAACCTGGCGACCACAATGTGTGGGAGCTCATAACCAGGAAGGCCTGGTGAGGCCTTTAACCTGGCAACCACAGTATGTGGGAGCTCATAACCAGGAAGGCCTGGTGAAGCCTGTAACCCAGCGACCACAGCATGTGGGAGCTCATAACCAGGAAGGCCTGGCTTTTTTTGTTTTTTTTTGTTTTGAGGCCTGTAACCCGGTGACCACAATCAGTGGGAGCTCATAACCAGGAAGGCCTGGTGAGGCCTGTAACCTGGCAACCACAGTATGTGGGAGCTCCCACAGATGTCTCTCCGTGGCCACCATAGCACCGACAGAACAGCAGCTTGCTTGGTGGCCCGGAGTCCCGCAACAGATCGGTCTGGTAGGCCTGAGGACCACAAGGGCGTGCAGAACCGCACCTGCCTGACCTGCTGCCGTGTACGCTCTGTCATTCAAGCATGAAGATGTCTTGAGCAGCTTGGATGACAGGGTCAGAGCTCTTAGTGAAGAGGACCAACCAGAGACGAGATAGTTAGCCAACGTCTCGTCCACTGGCGGCCTCGACACTTATCCGTTCTCCACGGCTCCCTCCACAGCAGCGAAACTAGCCCGCTGATGCAGATAGAGACGTGAGGAGAACGGATTCTTCCATACCCTCTCGATCCCAGCGTGGAGATCGGAAACGAATGGAAGGCTCATCCGGGCTGGTGGCTTATGGGTGGGGAGGAACCAGCCATCCAAAATACCATGAGCGGGTTCCTCCCAGACGCGCCTCCACTGCAACAGCAATCTGTCTGAGGCGCGCCCCATAATGTCAACCAGCTCAGCGTACACTGGGCAGGAGGGCTGAAATGATTCGGTCTCAACCAAACTGACATCCTTTTCTATATATATATATATGTATATATATATATATATATATATATATATATTACAGCCAACTCCTGCCCTGCCCAAAGAGAACAGTTACAGATTCACCAAAGAGAGAGAGCGCTCATTTTCTCTCTTCTTAGATGTTCAACATTAATCTGTAACTCACCCTCGTCAGCTGGTAGATCATCCGCGAGGTTAACGCCCCTCTCCCGATAATCTGCCAGCTCCATCTGAAAGCTCCACGAGCTCAACCGCCACTGAGCCTCAGCCCGAGCGGGAACCGGAACCGCGGGGTTCAGATTCCGCGCCCACTTCCCTCGAGAAGTGGGTCAGACGAGAGCAGAGAGTTCTGAAAGGAAAAACTCTCAGTTCGCGCAAAAAACTCCCTCGAGAGCTTCCCGCGAATGCTCTTCTCTCAGGCAGAACACGCACAGATCGTGTGAATCCTCCGGTGTCAAATATCTGGACACAAGTCGGCACACTCGCGCAAAGTGTTTCTCCACGTCTCTGCGCGTTTAATCGTTGATACTATCACACAGACAAACAGTCCCTGAAGACGAAAAAGATGTTGTCACGGTTTCAAGGCGCCCTTCTTATACATCCAGATTGGTTGTCATCATTCATCATTCATGGCTCATCATTCAAGCTGATGATGCACGGGCTGTCGCCGGTCAACCTGATTACTGTGAGTTGATATTTGATTTCAGACACCTGTCACGCCTGAGGCGTTCCCCATAGCGTCATTCGACGTATTGTTGAGTTCCCTTCGAAAGGGAACAAACAGCCCATATGAATCCGTTAAAACAATATTTCCGCAGATTTTACACACAGGCTTCTATACAATCCTTTTGCAGGGGTATATGCATGAAATAGAGATGCAACGAGCAGATCTGGCTTTATTCTTTAGAGATCTCCTGAGATTTGAACTTGTTTGGGTGAAATCAAATTTCATTCTGATTATTTTTATGTTTGTTTCTGATGTGCAGAAATGAAACATGGCCAAACCATGATGATGATGATATTACAGAGATTATTAATACAGAAGCTTTAAACAGCAGGAGCTGATGAGATTAAACATGAGATTGTCCCAATGCAGTGTTCACAGGCTGTCATGCTGTAAAGTCTCTATACTGTGTGATAATTCACTGGCCCTCACTGAACCTCTCTATTGGGCTTCCTTATCGATGGCGAATATGTGTATCTAGAGTGTATTCACTGATATCGTCACTTTATCGACTGAAAGTGATTATGCCTATGTGCTTCTGGCTGTCAAAGCTGATGTGACTGCTGTGACAGTTTGACATATTACAAATCTGACTGCACATACAACACACAGAACAATTACGTAGTCAAACATAAACGTCTAACACATGAAATAGTTGGACATTCCTATAATGCATTAATGTGTTTAAGAATAATACATTAAATAAATGGGAGTAAAAGGCTTCTGGTGGTTTCTTCTTCGATTATGTGTTGGTATTTTGTAAAAAATAAATAAATACAGTACAGTTCAAAAGTTTGGGGTCAGTAAGATTTAAATATATATATATATATATATATATATAATTTTTCAGCAAGAAACAATAGAGCATCACAGTGCCGGAAGTAAATTTCTCACTCATTTCTTCCACTGACGTTTTGTAAAATCCATATCTAAAGAGTATTAGAGCATGTCTGAGGATAATCAGCTACGGCTGAACTCATAAGCATACAACATATCATTTCGAGTGAAAAAAAACGAAGAAAAAATCCCAAAAAAAGTCAAGGGTACAAGACTGTGTACATATTTTCATTTCCGAGCAAAGGAACTACTCCTCCCATAAACCACTGCGCCTCACTGAAGTCGTGAAAGAGCCTTTTGAGTGACTTCCAAATCTGACGACGGCCACGTGAACTTTTTCCTCCAGTGAATTTTATATAGTGAATGTGCAGGGAAACTGCTTTTCCTCGATTTACTGAAGCTTATGCATATGCTAAAACATTGAGCATCTGGCTCGCTCATTGGCTGTGCTGCGGCAACTGCACATCCAATGGCGCGGGGGCGTCTCAGAGGTGCCACCAATGAACTTAGCCCTACGTCATTACACGATCTTCAGTCTGTCACATACGTTCGCGGGCTTTCAGACACGTTACACGACTTCCACCAATCAGATGCATCACTGTGGGATTGGTCAGGATTGTGGGTAATGAAGTACTTATCCAATACATCGCGAATAAAAGGCATTTATCTTAAAACAAGGTTAGTGCCCCATGAACTTTTGGCATTTATATGAGCATTTACAATCACTTAGTACAGCCGTAGCTGGTTTTAAGTCTACTATGTATGGTTACGTTTTAATGGCTTATATCCCAACTGTCAATGGAGAAATTGTATTGAATTTTTACTTCCTGCACTGGCTGTGGGCGGAATGGGATGCTCAATTCTATTTCAAATAAAAGCAGTGGTTTTTTGTTTGTTTGTTTGTTTGTTTGTTTTTTACTTTCCGTTCATCAAATAATCCTGTAAAAAAAAAAAAAAATCTACATTGATAATAATAAAAAAAAATGTTTCTTGAGCACTAAATCAGTGTTGTGGGACACTGGATTGATGGTGCTGAAAACTCAGCTTTGCATCAAAGGACTGTATTACATTTTATGATATATTAAAAAAAATATTTTGAACTGTATTAATATTTCACAATAGTACTGATCAAAGAAATGCAAACTTGGTGAGCAAAAGAGACTTCTTTCAAAAACAATAAAAATCTCATCAACCCCAAATCTTGAATGGCGGTGTAAATAAGTGCTGAGGTTTAATAACTGAAATGACAATACTTTTTGAATATGAATTTGTTCAATTCATATTTTTTTCTATTTTAAGACATTCAAAATCTCCCTCATTAAGCTAGATGACATCAATGATGACACTCATGACCCCATACTATGAAAACTGAATATATTACATTTTAACTGGTGGATGTTCTGTTATTTCTACATGCATGCATTTGTACAATAACCTGTCAAATATTCTACATTCTTTCATTCATCTTAATGAATCCATGAAAAATATATCTGCTGCAAGATGGACAACTACATTTCTCTTCACACCCAATCACATTCTATCACATTCTGTCATCGTTTATTTACCCACATGTCTCTCCAAACCAATATTTGAATTTAAGAAGTACTGATGCATATTAAGCTCCAAATATGAGGTAAAAGTATCATACAATTGAAGACCGTTCTGTCGTTCTTCGCTAAAAATCTTCCAAATGAAGCTCTTAAGTCATATTCATAAAACAGATAGTTCCGGTCATTGATAATGATTGGTTGAGCCGAGTTTGAAGCCATTGTAAATTACTCTACAAACATACACCTGTGACCACATTACATCAGTTTTACTGTGCCACTGTGTCTGTTGCTTGCCAAAAATTCAGCTTCTAAAGAACTATATTGCTTGCTGGAAGATTTGTGTTTATCAATAGCATTACATATTTGTGCATTTTGTGCATCCTATTGCAGTCATTAATCTTGAAATCTCCTGATAAATAAAATACGGTCTAGAGCGGAAATTGAAGATCGGGTTTATATTGGTTTTGTGAAGACACATTTATGCGGCCAAGCGTAAAAGGAACCGTTTGAACAAATCAGATCAGTAAAAACACGTGACCACACGTGAACGGGCTCATAGAGGTCAAACCTGATGTGCCATATTCAAACATGTGAACAAAAATTAGTTTTTTTTTCATTTACTTAGCAGAAACATTCGTCAAAACATCCTTTTTTTTTTAATTACATCTCACAGGTCTGGAACGACACAAGTAAATGATGACAGAATTCTCATTTTTGGTTGAACTTTTCCTGTAAACTAGTGGCACACGATTAATCGCAATTAACATGGAAATCGCTCGATTTGGATTATTACGATTATGCGATCGCAAAGGCTGTGATTATATTTTTATGTGCAGCTCGGCTCTGTGGTCAGTAGTAAACACTCCTCCATCTGAAAGCACTGTGAGTTTGAGTCGCTAATAACGTGCATTTGAAAAATGTGCAAAAAAATTGCATTTGCAATCTTCTGTTTATTCAGCTATCGATAGTATGATGCCCATAAGTATTTCCCATAAGATATGTGGTGTGTGTGAGACGCCCTCTGGTGTTCAGATGGATATGTGGTGTGTGTGTGTCTGTCTGAGACGCCCTCTGGTGTTCAGACAGAGCGGTATTTACTACCAATCAGCCGTGCTTCACTGACAAGCTGCACATAAAATCGCAGCCTTTACCAAATTGCGTGCGGGTTCCTCTCAATACAACTTAACATAAAACAATACCCAACTACTGGTCTGTTTAATACTCTCACATATCACCACTAAGATACTCCCACACAAATGACACTCAATGATGTCACTACTCCTAACTCTGCAGTTCCCACAATTCCAGTGTCCTTGCAGTTTCTCAATCTATTAATCACTAATGGTCTCAAAAGTGTTGATCTCCCGGAGTCACAAGTCATCAGAGCAGGCCGGTTATCTCTGCAAGAAACACTGTGTACAGTAAGTGCACATTCCAAATGATATGATATAATGTAAATGATATTTGATGTTGAACTCTACTTCAACCCATCGTCTCATAAGGTGTGTCCCATACTGCTGCTGACCAGTCCTTTAACGTTTGTCACAGGTCTGACTCCATGCAGCTGTTTGCGTCTGTCGATAAACGCAGCGAGTCTGACGGTGTCCAGTGGTGTTTTGGAGTAATCTCCACTATGAGCGCTGACCCACGGGTGCTGGAGGCACGAGGCGGAGCTCGGCCTCTTTCTGGGGTCCTGGTTGAGTGTGGACACGATGAAGTCTTTGGCGGCTTGGCTGACGCCGCAGAAGTACTCTTCGGGGAAGCAGAAGTCCAGCTTGCAGATGTTGACGCAGGTCTCCTCCAGACTTTCGTCCAGGAACGGGGAGACTCCACTGAGCAGGACGTAGGCCAACACCCCTACACTCCACACATCTGTAGACAGGGACACCGGGGTGCCCTGGATGAGCTCTGGAGCGGCAAACTCAGGGTTCCCCAAAAGGAGATGCACGTAGCGGTGACCCGAAACCTGAACTGCGTCGCCCAGATCCGAGAGCTTCACACATGGCACCGGCACGTGGAGGTCCACCAACAGATTTTCAGGCTGAGGAACAAGAAAGAGACTTTCAAGACTCTGCACTTGGTTTTTAAACTTTGTTTTAGTGGTCACACACCTACATACTTGGTGCTTGCTTGTACAAAACTCAAAATGTCAGCGTTTTGTGGATGATTGCAAGGATGTTGGTATTTGGCTTACCAAGGTTTTATCAAAGTCACTCGCAAAGAAAGTCAGTTCACTTGTCCGCCATCCATGTTGGAAGCTACTTTGGTTACGTAAGACCAATTCCAATTAACTTAAAGGGTTAGTTCACCCAAAAATGAAAATTCTGTCAGTATTTACTCACACTCATGTTGTTCCAACCCTCTATGTGTTTATTTCTTCTGCTGAACACAAAGGAAGATATTTGGAAAAATGTTTTAATCAAACAGATCTCATTCCCCATTGACTACCATAGTATGTATTTTTTCCTACTATGGTAGTATGGTTTGATTAAAACATTCTTCCAAATATCTTCCTTTGTGTACAGCAGAACAAATAAACACATAGAGGTTTGGAACAACATGAGGGTGAGTAAATACTGACAGAATTTTCATTTTTGGGTGAACTAACCCTTTAAATGTGGTTATACTGAAAACGTCTCGGTTACGGATGTAACCCTCGTTCCCTGAGTAGGGAACGGAGACGTTACGTCAGAAGTGATGGAGATTGGGGGTTTCGCATAGAAAGCCAATCCTCTTCGAGTATTTAAAAACGAGCCAATGGCATGCAATGCCTTGGGGCTGCGGAAATTTGCATAGCGTACTCCGCCCTACTCCGTGAGTATAAAAGGAGGAAGTGAACGCAACCGCAGTATGTCTTCACTGAGGAGCCAAGACTGAACTCGGCGTCTACCCAGCGATACAGCAGAAGTGGCAGGGAGACGTAATGTCTCCGTTCCCTACTCAGGGAACGAGGGTTACATCCGTAACCGAGACGTTCCCTTTCGTAGTCACTTCGAGTTACGTCAGAAGTGACGGAGATTGGGGGTCTGTGCCATCACGCCATCTTCAAGCTGTCTACCAGTGCCCTGCGAAAGTCTGGACCCCTCCTCTTTTTTTTTTTTTTTTTAGGGATCCCACTTTGACACAGGATTACCAAGGTACACTGGGAAACATATCCCGGGAGGGACATGCTACCAGCTGCCTACCCAGGGGAGGACTTACAAATACACATATGGCCACATAGGAACGCATATGGAAACACTGGAGGACCAACCGCAGGTGGCTACTAAAATTTTAACTCCAGGGGTGGCAGATGGCTTGCCAAGGGAAGACACATGCTCAGAGAGGCTTACAGTGGATAATACACATGAGACGGTTACCATGGGGAACCGTGCACACGGAGGCACCTAGCCAGCATCCAGAGCAACAGCAGTGGTGCCCGCATCGTCGGTGCTGGAGGACTCAAGGCTTCAATGGAAGAACTGAGGAGACATCGCACTTACCCAGTCCGAGGAGTGGAATGGCGAGCATGCGAAGACACCTAAGCGGGTCCAGTACTGGCGGAGCGAGTACGTGAGAGGACACCGGCTCAATTCGCAGATTATAGAATCTGGCGAAGGTGTTGGGTGTCACCCAGCCTGCAGCTCTGCAGATGTCTGTTAGCGAGGCGCCGTGCGCTAGAGCCCAAGAGGAGGCCACACTCCGAGTGGAATGGGCCGTCACACCAAGGGGGCACTGACGGCCTTGCTGCTGGTAAGACAAAGCAATGGCGTCCACTATCCAGTGAGACAGCCGTTGCTTTGAGAGAGCCCTTCCCTTCTGGCTCCCCCCATGACAGACAAAGAGCTGGTCTGAGGTCCTGAACACCGCGTTCTGTCGACATAGGTGCGGAGAGCACGTACCGGACAGAGCAGTGCCAAGGCTGGGTCTGCCTCCTCCAGGGGCAGCGCTTGCAGGTTCACCACCAGGTCCCGGAAGGGAGTGGTAGGAACCTTGGGCATAATCCAGGCCGGGGTCTCAGGAATACGTGAGAGTAAGCCGGCCCGAACTCCAGGCACACTTTGTCAACGGAGAGTGCGTGCAGGTCCCTTACTCTCCTGATGGAGACCAACGCAATCAGGAGTGCTGTCTACATAGGACAGGGCAAAAGCTCTACCGACTGCAAAGGCTCCAGGGGAGGCCTCTGCAGAGTACTTAGATCTACTGAAAGGTCCCCAGAGGGCACGAGGGGAGGGAGGCGGATTTAGCCCCCTCGCTCCCCTCAGGAACCTGATGACCAGGTCATGCTTCCCATAGACTTACCTTTCACTGCATCATGCGATGCGGCAATGGCCGCGACATAAACCCAAAGGGTGGAGGGTGACGGCCTACGCTCCAACCCCTCTTGCAGGAAGGAAAGCATGACTCCGATCGAACATCTCCGGGGGTCTTCTCCGCGAGAAGAGCACCAACTGACGAAGAGATACCACTTCAACGCATACAGGTGTCTCGTGGACGACGCTCTAGCGGAAGTGATGGTTGCCGCCACCGCAGGTGGCAACGAACTCAAACCTGCCCCGTCCCGTCCCAGAGCCACATGTGTAGCCTCCAGGATCAGGACGAGGGTGCCACGGAGTGCTCCATCTCTGAGTGAGTAGATCTTGTCTCAGAGGAATAGGCCAAGGAGGTGCTGTCGTGAGGAGCATGAGTTCGGAGAACCACGTCTTGGTGGGCCAATAGGGGACTACCAGGAAGACCTGCTCCTCGTCCTCCTTGATCTTGCACAACACCCGTGCAAGAAGGCTCACTGGGGGAAACGCATACTTGCGTGGGCCCCGCGGCCAGCTGTGCGCCAGTGCATCTGTGCCGAGCGAACCGTCGGTCAGGGAATAAAACTGGGCGCAGTGGGATGAGTCCCGAGAGGCGAACAGATCTATCTGTGCCTCCCCGAACTGGTCCCAAATCAGCTGGACCGACTGGGGATGGAGTCGCCATTCGCCGGGGATAGGACGGACCCGTGACAGTTCGTCGGCTGCCAGGTTCCGGTCTCCAGGAATGTATACTGCACGAAGGGACCTCAGGTGCTTCTGACTCCATAATAAGAGGTGGCGGGCGAGCTGCGACAACCGGCGTGAGCGTAGACCCCCCTGGTGGTTGATGTACGCTACTGCCGTAGTGTTGTCTGAACGGACAAGCACATGCTGGCCCGAGAGCAACGCTCATAAGCGGTGCAGGGCGAGCCGTACTGCCAGCAGCTCGAGGCAATTGATGTGCATGAGGCGCTGGGTTCCTGTCCAGGAACCGGCGGCTGCATGCCCATTGCACATGGCACCCCAACCCGTGGTAGACGCATCCGTGGAGACAACGAGATGCCTGGAAACTCGCTGAATAGGGATGCCGGTCCGTAAGAAGCCGAGGTTCGACCACGGGAAGAAGGTTCGGCGGCATGCTGGAGTCACTGGAACTCGGAGCGAACCGCGATGCCATGCCCACCTCGGGACTCGATCGCGAAGCCACAGCTGAAGCGGTCTCATATGAAGCAAACCGAGCGGCATAACCGCGGCCACGGATGCCATATGCCCCAGGAGCCTCTGAAATAGTTCAGTGGAACCGCACTCTTGCCCTCGAACTGTCGAAGACAAGTCAGCAGTGAGTGCGCGCGCTCGCTCGTGCGCTGCGCGGACATGGCGACCGAGTCTATCTCCATGCCGAGAAAAGAGATCCTCTGCACGGGGCAAAGTTTGCTCTTTCCCCGGTTGACCCGAAGGCCCAGACGGGCTAGGTGCCGGAGCACCAGGTCTCTGTGTTCGCAAACCTGTTCTCGAGAGTGTGCCAGTAACAGCCAGTCGTCGAGATAACCCGAAAGGGAGAACCGTGTGCTGATGCCTGGCCTCGAGGCAAACCGAGAGCGGTCTGTGTCGAGGCGATATGGAGACATGAGAGTACGCGTCCTTCAGGTCGACTGCTGCAAACCAATCCTGAAGCCAAACGCATTCGAAAATGCTGTGAGCATTTTGAACGGCAGTCGAAGGAGAGTACGGCTCAAAAATGCGCAGATCCAGGATTGGCCGTAACTCACCGGTCTTCTGGGGACAGTGAAGTATGGGCTGTAGACCCGGGCCTCACCTCGGCTGGAGGGACCGTCTCGATTGCACCCTTCGCCAGCAGGGTGCAATCTCCGCTCTCGTGACTGGGGCATAGCCACCGACCACCGTGGAGCGAACTCCCCTAAAGCGGGGAGGAGACCTCGCGAACTGAGTCGCGTAGCCGAATCTGATCGCTCTGATGACGCAGCGGGACAGGCCGGGGAGCTCTAGCCGGGCTCCCAGGAACTGAACCAGCGGAGTCATGCGAACCACAGACGTCCCCCCGGAGGGGCAGCGGTACAGGAAGACCGGCATGCGCACAGGAGTTACCCTGTGCGGATGCACAGTTGAGCCCCGTTCCCCGACAGAAGAGACCAGGGCAGGACCAGCGTTCCACGGGGGTCTGTTCTGCCGGGGGTCTGGCGATAGAGGGGGAGGGGAGTAGTGTAGTCGGGGGACGGCACACGCTCCCATCCGCACCCTCAGAGACAGAGAGGAATGAACGGGGCGACGCACTGGACATCGTGTGCGCTCATTCCAGTCTGTGTGCTCAATGACAGTGCCAGCTTTTCCTCAACCAGCTCAAGGAGCTAGCTAGAACAAAAGATTCTCCACCGGGGAAGGAGGGGCCCTGCTACCGCCTCCTGAGAAAAACCCTGACACTATCACTGAGCGGCCCGCCTCAGGAACATCGCTTCGCCTGGCGTTTAGCGGGGCACACGGGGGGGGGGAAGCTTACCTGTGGCCTCCTCCGCGACACGAACCGGCTGAAGGCTGCTGCTGGGGCCGCGTGGGAGGGAAGGGAGCCGCAGGGGGGCGTCCTCGGCGGCGAGCTGGCGGAGGCGTCTGAGCCGACGGCTGGTTGGAGGCAGCAGCTGGCCGTCGGGGCAGAGAAACCGCCTTCGTCTGCTCCTAGGCGGTCGAGAAGTGCTGGGCAAAGTCCTGGACCGCACCGCTGAACATTTGGATGATGCTCCTGGACCACAGCGGTGGGCCTCCGTGACCCGTTTAAGGGCAAGGTAGGCGGCAGGCTCGCAGCTCGCTTGGTCCGTCCCCTCCTCGTGCACATTCCTGAGCAGCTAGCTTTGTAGGGCTCATCATATGCAGGGCGGAGGCTGCCTGTCCCGCCGCTCTACAGAATCGCGCCGCCATAGACGACGAGAACCCATAGGCTTTGGAGGGGCATCTGAGAGCAACCGCCGGTGGACCGGGGGAGCCCCAGCGTACCCACAGACAGCCGCATCGCCGAGGGGAGGAAGGGCGGGGAACTGAAGCACGCTCTTTTTTTTATTTTTATTTATTTATTTATTTTTTCAGTGCGTGTCAGTTCCGCATGCAACTCGGGGAAAAAAAGGAAATTGGGGTTGGCCGTGGCCGTAAGGCGGCAGCGTTACCCAAAAAACAATTATCCAGCCGCGAGAGATCGGGATAGGGCGGAGTTCCACCCCCACCCGATGCTCACGGAGGCCCGAGATAGCACGGCCATCATCGCGGGATCAGACACGGCGACGCCGACGCTCCCGAGGGAGGCAACGCGGCCGCATCCTGACTTCCCGAGGAGTCAAGCCCGCCTTGTGATGCTGCGATCGTCATCGCATCCCCCTTCTGGGGAGCCGAGCGAATCAGACGGTACCTCAGAGAGGCAGACGTCTGAAGCGATACAGCGCTCACTGGCTCTAACACTGAGCGGTGGGTGTGACCCGAGGAACTAACGTCGGGGTTTTTTGTCACACATTCACCGTCATATCACCCTATCCGCGAGTCGAAGAGCTTCTATTTTAAGAAGCAGAACGAGTAACGGACACGGGGACTCTCACTATCAGATCATTGAGTCTCGATCACAGTGTAGAGATGCTCATGTTCCCATTCAGAAGGAACATGAGACATCCGCGAACGCTGCTCTGCATGCTGAAGCCCAGGGACACACAGAGCAGCGAACGCGACCATCAGAAAATGACATGAGACGAACGCACCCAGAAGAACACGGGCGAGTCGTCTTTAAAAAGACGTGCCGCGTGCAGCTCTTTCACTTAGAGAGGAGGAAATTCACTCTTTCAGCGCTGAGGCGACCTGGGAGAATCGCAAAGTCTGGCAGACCACTGCTCAGATCGCAGGCAATGCAGAGTCTCGCTGGGTACCGCCATCACACCAACACTGAAGAGGACGCTCGTCTCGAAGAGTCTTGAACAGTGAGAATGGCTTTCAGGAGTGAAGAGTTCTCTTGGCTCCGAAGCGAAAACATACTGCGGTTGCGTTCACTTCCTCCTTTTATACTCACGGAGTAGGGCGGAGTACGCTATGCAAATTTCCGCAGCCCCAAGGCATTGCATGCCATTGGCTCGTTTTTAAATACTCGAAGAGGATTAGCTTTCTATGTGAAACCCCCAATCTCCGTCACTTCTGACGTAACTCGAAGTGACTACGAAAGGGAACTCAAAAACATCTGACATGAGCGTCTCTTAAATGTTGTTTCTAATAACATTAAGAAGTGTATCTTTCAGGTTGGTCCCGCCAATATGCAGTCTCAGGTGCTTTCCCAATTGACTGTTTTATTTAGTATTAAGGACTTTCTGTATTAGATCCATCATATTTTTTTGCATTTCAGTTTCTCCCATTCATACTGTAGTAATATAAGTGCTCAGTCTTGGTATAGTGTTTTGTTTTATTTAGGTTATTAGCGCACGCTGCTGCATGGTTAGAGTGTTGCTGTGCAGTTGCTAAGGTGCTGCTTGGGATCCGTGTATGCTAAACTTCTACTTTTCCCTAAACAATCTCTAAATATGCTGATGTGGTGGTATAATGTTTCACCTTGAGGTCCAGGTGAGCTACTCTGCATGTGTGCAGGTGCTGCAGAGCTTCCAGTGTGTCTTTAATGAAGAACGCCACCTTCTCCTCCATCAGCTCATCGTGAGCCACTAGATAGTCCAGCAGACGTCCATCTTCAACACTAAACACATAAATATGATCACACCAATGCATGTCTTTCTTTTTTTATGCCAATTCTGAAAAACTTGTAGGACTTATGCCTGCAACACTCTTATTTTTTTGTGTTATACAAGTCATTGTTTCATTGACTTCTCACAAGTCAAGTGCAAGACAGTTTTGGAATGGCATGAGGGTGAAAATGTGACAATGTTTGTTAATGTGTGAACTATCCCTTTAAAGCAGAGGTCTTCAACCTTACTCCTGAGGACCAGGCTGTGTTCAAAATCACCCTCTATACCCTCATCCACTATTCCCTACGTTAGTCCACTAATATAGTCCACTGAAGGAGTGAATGAAAACGAGTGAGTGAATTCGGACACTTAGCGCCGGAAGAGCTGCCGCTTTTCATTTCTTTGAGCTTGATGTTTAATAATTGTTTAAAATGGCTCTAGTAGAAAAGAAAATGTTTATATTGATCCCTGTCATGGAAACCATGTATAAACCTTAAAGGATTAGTTCACTTTTGAAAAAACTTTTGCTGATAAATTACTCACCCCCATGTCATCCAAGATGTCCATGTCTTTCTTTCCTCAGTCGAAAAGAAATTAAGGTTTTTGATGAAAACATTCCAGGATTTTTCTCCTTATAATGGACTTCAATGGGAACCAGGTCCAACCGAGGTCCAAACGACAGTTAATAACAGTTTCAGATGCAGCTTCAAATGTCTTTAAACGACACCAGACGATGAATAAGGGTCTTATCATGCGAAACGATCGGTTATTTCAAAACTTATTCCAAAAATGTAATTTTTCTAAGGACAAATGCTAGCCTTGTAATATATAGGCGCGTTTGCAACGTCACGTAATACGTAATTACGTTCAAAAGGTCACGGGCGACGTAGCCGGAAGTACAGAATCAAAATCGTCCGACATCGTTGTTTTACCTTTTAATTCCTTTTTTGTAAACGGCGTTTGAGTTAGTTTGCACGTTCAACCTATGCGTTCAACTTGTAATTACTCTGACTCTGTACTTCTGGCTACGTCGCCCGTGACCTTTTGAACGTAATTACGTATTACGTGACGTTGCAAACGCACCTCACAGAATGGAGAAAGGCTAGCATTTGTCCTTAGAAAAGTTAAATTTTTGGAATAAGCTTTGAAATAACCGATCGTTTCGCATGATAAGACCCTTATTCAAGTGAACTAATCCTTTAAGTAAACAATTTACAAATCAATTAAAAGGAATTTATACCTATATGATATTACGCTGTCCCCACATGGACCAGCGGTTTGGAAAATGTATGGATGACGGCGCTTGACTCTCACAGTACATTGTGGGATTGAATGAAAGCACTCGATAGCATCCACTATGGTTTTGGATACCACTACAAATGGCTGTGCCCTATAGTGCCCACTGTCCTGCAGACTTTACTTACCCTAAAAAGTGGGAAGCACATATACAAACTGTTGTAATTTCTACACTGTTCACCTGATTTGGATGTAAATACCTTCCAATTAAAGCTGAAAGTCTGCAGTTAAAGCACATCTTGTTAGTTTAATTTCAAATCCATTGTGGTGGTGTATAGAACCAAAAAGATCAGAATTGTGTCAGTGTCCCAATATTTATGGACCTGACTGTATTTGATAAGATTGGCTAACTTCCTACTACCATTGGCCACTCTGCTGTTCATCAGGATTGCCATCTAGACATAAGTGATTTGTCTAGTCTAGGCCCATAACTGTTGTGTCAATGGAAGTGCTTTCCAAATGGATTTACTCACAGCTCAAGAACCAGCATGTAGGCCGTGGGCGACTCATAGGTGTCAATCAGCGCCACCAGCTGGGGATGCTGGACATGACGCAGAATATCGGCCTCATGGGCAACCTGCTCTTTCTTCTGCATCTTCTTATTGACACATTTCACAGCAACCTCCTTCTTACTGGCCTTGCTGAGACACTTCCTCACCACTGAGAAACGACCCCTGAAACAGAGAAGATATGAAAAACATGCCAGAGTTTGTTACTGACAGGATGAATGGTGCTAGACTGCCTTTTAACAAAGGTAAAATGAATATATTTACCGTCCAATTTCACATAATTCTGTGAACGCAGATTCAAAGTTGTCTTTCCACTGGATTCCAGTGCCGTCATATGTTGAGGCTTGATGAAAGAGAAAAAAATAGAGGATAAGAAATGGGTTTGGAACAGAAAACTCAGTTCTGTTCTAAAACCCAGCTGATCCAAACAATACAGACATCATATATGTTGAGGTATTAGCGTGATTAGCATAATTTATGCTTATTTCTATAGATACTTAACTAAAACGGAAGGCAGCATCGCATGTGTGCTGAGAAGTCGATTGCAATGTGACAAGCTCAGTGATTTTTAAAAAAAAAATTATATGAGAAATGTTTATTTAATATATGCATTACATTCTAAAATAAAAGGTAAATACAAAAATAGTAAACAATAAAAAATAAGAAACTCCAGTGATATCAACTGCACTACAAAAAAATCATATGTCATAATCATAAAAGCAACAATCCCTAAAATATTCAAATGTTTCATATATTACTTCTTGGATATAAGTTCCTGTATATTTAGTCTTACTAAACTGTCAGATTCTCCTCTTCTTTTTAATGTATATTAACTTATTTATTAGTTTAGATACTGGATATGTATTAATGGATTTTTAAAATTTTAGATACTAGATAGTATCTTGTTCCACTCATCTTTTTTAATGAGTTGTGTTAAGTATCCATCATACTTTAGTAAGTAAAGTTAAAGTAGCAATTAAATAGTATTAAAAATACTATAAAAAATAACAATTAATATTTCTAAAAGTATTAAAGCGACAGATATTAACATTATTGAAGCATCAAAAGTACATAAATGGCAAACAAAATTCTAAAATGTTTCTAAAAATATTAAAGTGACTGATATTAAAACTACTGAAGCATCAAAAGTAGGAGTAAATTGTTTTAATAATGGGACAACTGATGGTACCGATGGCAGCCTGAGTGTGGTTTGGAATCGGTAAGATAATGTATAAGAGTGTATTGTTCATCCGAAAATGGAAAATTGTCATGATTTATGCATCCTTATATCGCTACAGATTTGTGTGAATGCGTATGAGAAAGGAAGGTAGGTGACTTTGGTGAAGCACTTCTGTTTGATTTGATTGTCCTCACCTGTGCTGGGTAAAGTCACCATGTTTGAGGGTTCACTGGGTGGGCTGATGCCCCAGGGGTTACTGGCACTGACTCTGAACTGATAGTGCCCACCGGGAATCAGATTCTCAATCTTCACACACACATCTGCAGTGGAGACCACCGACTTCTGCCACACCAGAGAGTCTGCACACAAGATCAGACAAACACATTTGTGAACCCAAAGATGGTAACACAGTCTCATCCCAAATCGTCATATAACTGACGTTTTGGGACGTATTTTGACCATACGTCAATATCCGCCTTTTTAGGGCCCCCTTAAACGTCGGTAGATGGCGATCCCGGGCCGTCATACAACTGACGCTTTACCTTTAACGTCAGTTAGGTGACGGGTTAGGTTTAGGGTTAAGTTTAGGTATGGGGTAGAGTTAGGATCCCATAACCTCATCTACCGACGTTTAAGGGGGCCCTAAAAAGGCGAATATTGACGTATGGTCAAAAGACGTCCCAAAACGTCAGTTATATGACGATTTGGGATGAGACCGGGTTGAAGATGGATGATTAAAACATGGATATGACACACATGCATGTCATAAGATTAACTTTTGAGACAAAAAAGTATGCATGGACCTGGATAAAGATGCTATATTATAAACTTCTGTAGAAATGTATTTTATTCCTAAAAAAAAATAGTACTGTACCTTTAAGAATTGTTTTATGTACGCTACTGTTCAAAAGTTAGTGGTCAGAAGTTTTGTTTTTTTATTTACTTTTAACTTTTATTTAGCAAGGATGCATTAAAATGAGCAAACATGACAGTAAAGACATTTACATTGTTAGAAAAGGTTTCTATCTCAGAAATTCTGCTCTTTTAAAATTTCTAATTATGAAAGAATCCTGAAAATGTTTTAATCACGATTTCTGCAAAATTTTAATTAGCTATTTTCAACATTAATAATAATAATAATAACAAGCAAATATTTTAAAAGGATCATGTGACTGAAGACTGGGATAATTGCCATTAATATATTTTTTTTAAATATATTGAAACTATATTTATAACTGCATAAATTGTAACAATATTTTTGCTTTTTTTACTGTTTGTTTGATCAGCTTTGATGAGCATGAAATATTTTTTATAGTCATGATAGGAGAGGAGAGAGAGAGAGAGCAATAGGGAGATTTGAAGAAAGACTGTAGAAAGAGAAATGGCTGAAAGATATCACAAAAGAGAAAAGATCAGAGGAATATCACTGGGAAAAGAAGGGCAAAAGCTCACTATACGTGATGTTTCACAGAATCAAGATTGTTAGCTATAACAGGATGTCACGTTTTGGATGTCACTGTTTGTCTGCAGCTGGTGTGTTACTGGTGACTAACAACAAACTCTAGCTAGTATATAGCTGATTTCACACAGCCGTCATTTTGAAATGGCTCCGGTGGGAAGAAAACCGGAAGTGTTTCTTTATATCATAGGAGAGTCGCTAATGCGATGGCGTATTGTTTGTGTTTAACGTAGAAATTTTTAATTCTAAAATGTACATACATTTCTTTCATAGTTTAGACTATATACCGTGACATTTATAAATTTATAAATATATTTTTTACATATCCTATATTGGATATTAACATCTAATGGTTTAAATCACGGCAGCAGCTTCAGGTTGGTAGTCCAAGGCATTGTTGTCTATCAGTACTTCCGGGATCCTTCCAGAGGTGGAAGTAACGAATTACAACTACTCAGATTACTGTAATTAAGTAGTTTTTTCGTGTACTTGTACTTTTATGAGTACATTTTTTAGTCTGTAATTTTTCTTGTACTTGAGTACAAATTAAGTTAAGTAATGTACTTCACTACTTTAAAAATGCCATTAATTACAAAGTACTTGTACAATTTGAATTCAACAATTATTCAAATCTTTGACCAGCATTTGGGTATCCAATGGAAATAACTGATAGTGGGCGGGCCAATAAAAACCCTTGTATTTGGAGCGGGGGAAAAGCCCGGTTCCTGGAGAGCTATATTCGTCCTCACACGTCCTTCAGTTTGTATTTTAGCGTTATCAAAGAACTTTGCCGTAATGGACATGGACATTAGAGACGCTGAATTCATTGAAAATTCCAAAGAAATACCAGATGACGAATGCCCATGACCCCACATGGAGGAGTTGTTCTTATACAGAGGAAGGAAAGGAGACGTTTTATAGAAACTTTGTTTCTGCAGTGATATGTGATAGTTCAGTTGTTTTCGTTTTTAAAGTTGGGTAGACCTCACGATAATTTGACTAAAAACATCACTTGAAACATGAGCTTCAGCGTTACTCAGGTGACAAGCACATATACCGTAATAAAGATTTAGCATTGTAAACTTAGATTAAAAAGTTATATTGTATGTCATTGTCAACACAATGTTTTATTAATATTGAATCCGTGTTTTAAGCTTACAATGAAGAGTTTAATAATGACTCTTTCATAAAAACAGTATCTTGCCGGCCATGACCCACTGGCATAACAGTTTAACTGCACTGTTGTCAGTCTGTCTAGATGGCACATTTGTGTCAGTGCTAAATACTGATAACTTTTGAAACTTTTGAAATATTAGTAGGGTACTTTTGGAAATCTTTATTGTAAAAAAAAAAAAAGAAAAGAAAAAAAGAAGTTTATAAATAAAATAACCCAATAAGTTTATTTATTTTGCATTATAATTCATTAATAATAATAATCATATTAGACCGTTTTTATAACTTGGTTTCCATAAAAGTAAATAAATATCACAGGCTAAAAGTAATTAGTAATTAGTACTTGAGTAGTTTTTGAGAGGGGTACTTTGTACTTTTACTTAAGTACATTTTTAACACCAGTACTTTTGCTTGTAATCGAGTATTATTTTAGCAACTACTTGTACTTGTACTTGAGTACAAATTTTCAGTACTCTTTCCACCTCTGGATCCTTCCCACCGGAGCCTCGCTTTCCATTTCAAAATGGCAGCTGTGTGAAATCAGCGTATACTCTTGTGTACTGCATATTCATATTTTTGCTCTTCCTTGCCATTTGTTTGTCATCTTCGCTTTATTTTTTCATGAAACATTATTTTGCTTCACTTCAGCTTTATGATAAAGAGACATCCACTCGTGCATGGTGTGTTTGTGAATTTTGGGGGCGGAGCAATGACGGGAGGGGCGTGTAGGGGTGATTTCAAATATCAACAGTGATTCTCAGAAATCACTTACTGCACCTTTAAATATCTGAACAGAGTAGGTGATGGTATGTAAATGTGTGCAATCATGTGCTCACAGTTGTGACAGTTTCAATCAGTGTTGTTGGTGGATTGGGGAGGGATGTGAATGTGATTGATCATTGTACATAAATTACATGTCTCTCATTACAACAGAAATCTCAGGCAGTTCTCGCAGTGTCGCTGTGTATTTGACAGCGTGTGATGGTTTTACCTTCCTGCCTGTACTCCACAGTGTAGCTGGAGATGGTGGAGTTCCCGGAGCTGACTGGAGGAAGCCAGTGGACGATCACCGCAGTGCTGCTGGCCTCCTGAGCCACAGGTCGAGCAGGGGCTGCTGGGATACCTGAACCACAGAACGACCGCGATTACTGAGACTGAGATCCACAACACACATCTTTATTTCTCTTTGTGTCTTCTCACCTTGTACTTTAATAGATGCAGACGAGGAAGCTGTGCCATGATCATTCACGGCCACACACGTGTAGATGCCAGTGTCCTGCGGCATCAGATTACAGATCTTCAACACTATATCACCCGTATCCCTAACGTGGATCAGACACAGCACACACAGAGGGAGAAAGTTATTTTCAAATAAACAAATAGCACAATTAACCCTTATGCTGCATTAGGGACATTTTTGGTCTTTTGCAGTTTAATTTCTTTGACCATTTTGGCTGTTTTAATGCAAATGGTATGAAATTTGGCAAAATTGTGACTTTTTGGATACATGTAAAAAATGTGATCCCATTTTGCAAAATATGTATAACACACACTGTGTAGATCAAATAGTAACACTCAGCACCATAAAGACCAAAAATGGCCCATTGAAACCCATTAAAACGTTGTTTAAATCTGAGGCTGTCAGTAATACATGAAACATGATTTTTGCACAAACATCCTTTCATTTTAAAGCAAAAGCATTATATTTGCATTATATAGTGTATTCCACCAGATGACGTCACTACATATTTATTCCCTATGGGTGGAAATGCACCTTATTTTAGGCAATAGGCAATGTTTAATAGGTGGCCATTTTTGGTCTCTAACGCGCTAAGTGGGATTTTTTGCAAAGTGGGACTGTGATAATCCAAATCTAAAGTTTTCTCTTTGCATTTAGTTTATTGAAAATAATTGAATTTTTGTGTTTTTTCCTCTTATACAAATCGATGGTTTCGCAAACAAAACTGGTAATTAAAGGGTTAAAATCCTGAAATTGAATACATTTTGGTAGTTATGATGAGGACTGATGCTGGTTAAAAGATTTAACTTGGTAAAAGTGGAAAATAATAATAACATATAATATTTTAGGCAATGTTTAATATGTGGCCATTTTTGGTCCTTAATGCACTCAACGGTGTTAAAAATCGAATGCAGCACAAGGGTTAAAGGAGCTGTATGTAAGGAATTTATTTCAATTAATCATAAATTTCCCTATATGTCACATGTTCATTTCAAATACTTATATCACTGACAACAGTAGTCCAGCCAGGATATTGTCAATTAAAAAGTGAAGTTGTAGCCCTCAACTGATTTTAATGTTGTCATGTTGTGTTTTGTTCTGATGCTCCACCGATCTACCAATCACGGAGTCAGTAGTGTTGCCATCCGGGTTGCCAGCTCTTCTCTAGTTACCACAGCTGCAGATACAAAAGTGTCGGATAAAAAAAAAAAAATTGGATCCTGCAGCCTATCTGGCAACCTTGAGTCAGGGGGGAGGTGGAGGGGATACGCCGCTCTACAGTAATTTGAAATTGATTGCAGTACCAGTTTTGGCCACAATCTTACATACGACTCCTTTAAGCCAATTATATTTATTATAACAAGCATCTGTCATATAAAATAGCTTATTCAGTACAAAACAACAACAAAAAAACCCCTGCTATTACAGAATATAAAATCAACATTCTGCAAATATAACAGGAAATAGGTCAAAATTCATATAGTAAGTATAGAGAGTTAACCCATAGAGAGTTAAAGATGTGATGTAATAATAAACAGATTTTGGGAGTAGGGAAAAAAAACACAAATATGTATTTTGGTTGTAGAGGGCTCTTGTATAAGTGGAGAAGAAAAAGAAGAAGAAACCAGAGGAATCATGGGACAGTTACATAACAGTGAGACTCATGAGGTCACATGAGGGTACCGTTTTCCCACAGAATGAACTCAGATTACATGATCTGAAATTGAATTTAAAAAATTACTTTAATCCTGAACAATTTCCTGAAACCAATCAGTGTCTTGCACTCAAATATAATCTCACGGGCATTAGTACAAATTTTATGAGATGGCTAATTCGTACGAACACATGCAATCTCGTTCATGCGATTTTTGCTAATTCGTACAAATTTTACAAGTTACTAAATTCGTACGAATGACCTACCCCTGACCCCGCCCCTAAACCAATCCATCATGTGGTGGGTTTATTTTAGACGTATCGTACGATTGAGGTCGTACGAATTTGTACGAATTGTTTGTGAGATAGAGTTGGAATTTGGAAATTTAACGGGGTCATAGGATGCAATTTTAAGGTAATTATTTTGTTTATTTGGTGTATTTAGAATGCTTTAATTTTCAAAAAACACACCTCTAGGAGGATCTTTGTTGACATCTTTGCACGCATGCGCGAGTGGTTCTGTGGCAACAAAACAAACACAATGACCGGCTGTATAGACGCGACACGCACTTTCAAGAGAGTTAGTAGGCAAAATCCACAATATATAAGCACTTTAATATCTGAAGACCGGAGGACGTTTGGAGAGAAGCTCAAAATTTGTATTGGTGACAAAATCGAAGTTATTCAAAGCCCTTATGTGATTTGGAATGTCAAAAAACGTTGGTCCGACTCGCCCGTGTCTTGGCCACCAATCTGCTGGGGAGACATTTATTCTTATTTAATAGAGACCCCTGGACCTTTCACTCATGAAAGATTAAAGGCTTTCAAAATTCTGGAGACCTATTTTGTTTCTCGAAAAGTTGGGCCGATCTTTTCTGCCAAACAGGAAGCAGTGATGGTGCTAAAAGCAACATGACATCATGACTTTTGCGTAAACATACATCTATATGCATTTTGAGCTATGCGTGTATGTACACGCCGTTAAATGTCTGAGCGAAACGAAGCAAAATGTAGATCTACATCTGGGGAGCGATATTTTTTTTTCCTAGGATGGTAGGGGAAGACTCATAAATGTTATTAAACACAGTGACGGATAGGTTTAGAGACGGGGTTGGGGTATAGGTCATATATTTATATATACAGTAATGTAACATTAAGTTAACGGCGTTCATAAACACGCTGAAAAGTGATTATGCGTGTTGAAAATACGAATTGGCGTGTTATACATGCGCCATTTCATGAGATCAGTCTGGAAAAGCAGAGCCTAGGTTAGATCAGGCCAAGCAGAGTCACAGCGTGATTCGCATCTCCCGTGGGTGATCGCAGAACGGCAAAATAATCACTGCTTACTGCGACTACAAAGCCGGGTAAGTCTACATTGATCAGTGTTCTTATTAATTTATTTATTTATTGAAAATGAAATGAAAAACTTTTTATCAGGCCCCCAACAAGCCGTACAATCGACCACACAGCATGAGTGAACCATCCTCTTCTCTAAATCCTCCTCCAAACGTGCAAAACAATCAAATTACAGGTATCTAGCGGTGTTTCCTGCCACAAGATTCCCATAATGCAACAAGACAAACATAAACAATGACGTCACAAAAGATCCGCCCATTCCCAGTCTGTCTGAAACGCTCTGACTGAGGCCCCGTCCACACTACTGCTGCTACGTTTGCACCTCCCGTCCAGACTAAAACGGGAAAAACGGAGACCTAAAACGGAGAAGTTTAGAAACGCTGCAGCTCCGTTTTGCGTTTTGAATCTCCGGAGGGCGTTTTAGTGTGGACGAGACAAAACGTAGGACTTCAGACGCAGGCGCTGGCGCTTGGCTCCATGATTGGGTGTTCTCAGTCATGACGTATCCTTCCCTCATTCGTAGATCACTGTTTACACCGGCACGCGCATGCCCAGTGTTGGTGAATGGTCACGTGATCCGCGTTTTCAGTCGTTTTAATGTGGACGGAGATCATTTCTAATACGCAGATAAAACGCTGGTGTGGACGGAGATCGTATTCGTTTTAATTCTCCGTTTTTAAACGAAAACGCAGTAGTGTGGACGGGGCCTGAGTTCTGGTTTCTACAATGCTCCTCCTTCTGAAACTGATTGGCCGGCTGACCTAGTGCACTGTGATTGGCCAAACACATTAAGCATTTGTCTGGAAAGTTACACCCTTTATCAAAATCGCAAACTTCAGCTTCCGAGGCCTCTAAAGCAATTGTAAACACAAACAGTTAATGTTCTCTGTTTTACCATATCAGTCTAAGGCTGAGTCCGATCATGACAATGTGGATTTTAAATCCCAAACAGACAAAACAGTTTTAAATCCCTTTTGTGGGAAACTATGAGTTTTGTAACTGTGCACTTCGGCCACCTTAACAAACAGACGCATTACACACTAAAGGAAATGGAAAACACACCTTTCCCAAGAGTTTCAGCTCAACATGTGCTCACAGTCTGTTGTGATTGAGTGTGGATTTGTACCTGATGTTGATAGTGAATGGGTTATTTGTACCTGATGTTGATAGTGAATGGGTTATTTGTACCTGATGTTGACAGTGAATGGGTTATTTGTACCTGATGTTGATAGTGAATGGGTTATTTATGCCTGACGTTGATAGTGAATGGGTTATTTGTACCTGATGTTGATAGTGAATGGGTTATTTGTACCTGATATTGATAGTGAATGGGTTATTTGTACCCAATGTTGACCGTGCATGGGTTATTTGTACCTGATGTTGATAGTGAATGGGTTATTTATGCCTGACGTTGATAGTGAATGGGTTATTTGTACCTGATGTTGATAGTGAATGGGTTATTTGTACCTGATGTTGATAGTGAATGGGTTATTTATGCCTGACGTTGATAGTGAATGGGTTATTTATACCTGATGTTGATAGTGAATGGGTTATTTGTACCTGATGTTGATAGTGAATGGGTTATTTATGCCTGATGTTGATAGTGAATGGGTTATTTATGCCTGACGTTGATAGTGAATGGGTTATTTATACCTGATGTTGATAGTGAATGGGTTATTTGTACCTGATGTTGATAGTGAATGGGTTATTTATGCCTGATGTTGATAGTGAATGGGTTATTTGTACCTGATGTTGATAGTGAATGGGTTATTTATGCCTGATGTTGATAGTGAATGGGTTATTTGTACCTGATGTTGACAGTGAATGGGTTACTTGTACCTGATGTTGATAGTGAATGGGTTATTTGTACCTGACGTTGATAGTGAATGGGTTATTTATGCCTGACGTTGATAGTGAATGGGTTATTTGTACCTGATGTTGATAGTGAATGGGTTATTTGTACCTGATGTTGATAGTGAATGGGTTATTTATGCCTGATGTTGATAGTGAATGGGTTATTTATGCCTGATGTTGATAGTGAATGGGTTATTTGTACCTGATGTTGATAGTGAATGGGTTATTTATGCCTGACGTTGATAGTGAATGGGTTATTTGTACCTGATGTTGACAGTGAATGGGTTATTTGTACCTGATGTTGACAGTGAATGGGTTACTTGTACCTGATGTTGATAGTGAATGGGTTATTTGTACCTGATGTTGATAGTGAATGGGTTATTTATGCCTGACGTTGATAGTGAATGGGTTATTTGTACCTGATGTTGATAGTGAATGGGTTATTTGTACCTGATGTTGATAGTGAATGGGTTATTTATGCCTGATGTTGATAGTGAATGGGTTATTTATGCCTGATGTTGATAGTGAATGGGTTATTTATGCCTGACGTTGATAGTGAATGGGTTATTTGTACCTGATGTTGATAGTGAATGGGTTATTTGTACCCAATGTTGACCGTGCATGGGTTATTTGTACCTGATGTTGATAGTGAATGGGTTATTTATGCCTGACGTTGATAGTGAATGGGTTATTTGTACCTGATGTTGATAGTGAATGGGTTATTTATGCCTGACGTTGATAGTGAATGGGTTATTTGTACCTGATGTTGATAGTGAATGGGTTATTTGTACCTGATGTTGATAGTGAATGGGTTATTTATGCCTGACGTTGATAGTGAATGGGTTATTTGTACCTGACGTTGATAGTGAATGGGTTATTTGTACCTGATATTGATAGTGAATGGGTTATTTATGCCTGACGTTGATAGTGAATGGGTTATTTGTACCTGATGTTGATAGTGAATGGGTTATTTGTACCTGATGTTGATAGTGAATGGGTTATTTATGCCTGACGTTGATAGTGAATGGGTTATTTGTACCTGATGTTGATAGTGAATGGGTTATTTATGCCTGATGTTGATAGTGAATGGGTTATTTATGCCTGACGTTGATAGTGAATGGGTTATTTGTACCTGATGTTGATAGTGAATGGGTTATTTGTACCTGATGTTGACAGTGAATGGGTTATTTGTACCTGATGTTGACAGTGAATGGGTTATTTGTACCTGATGTTGATAGTGAATCGGTTATTGTTGACCAGCGGACTCTGATCGGGTCCTTTCAGGGTGATCGTGGGCTTGGGTCGAGCGCACACTTTACAACCCAGAACCACCGTCTCCCCCAGAGCACACGTCACGTCCGCAAGAGGCGTCAGGAACTCTGGAGACACTGCGTTACAGAGCCAAGACATCATTCAAATCACACTATACTCATTCTTTATTAACACACACAACTAAATAGCATACCACACATTCACATATACACTTTTAATTCACATAATAATAATATAGAATTCCACATGGCTAATTTAAATTCTGAATAAAACAAGCGACACCTGGCGACATTTATGGGTTTATTGATTAATATTTCAAGGAGTTAGATGTATATTTCAGATATCTTATGTTTCATGTCTCTTAATTTGTTTTATTTGTATGAAATGCTCTGTATAAAATATGTATTTCATGCCTGTTATTTATTTTTATATACAGAACTTTGGTGCGCTTCGGTTGTTTGTTAATTGTTAATTTGGTAAAATTATAAAATTTTAATTCACAGTGTTGCTTTTATGACACATCTTCAATTAAAATATGGTGTATTAAATATGAATAAATTCATATGCCTGTATACAAATAACACACAAAGTAATTTAAAGGCTATTTTGTGCTATGAGAACTGAATGGGCGAATATTTATTCCCCTTAATAACACATTGGCTCAGGCATTGCTCATTGTCCAGCATATAATTATCTACATATCTAAACATGTTACAATTTTAAAGTAAATTAGACAGGTGGCTTCTCCCCCATCTTACCCTACTAGTTAAAAATACAGACAATCATCACATCATTCATAAACTCACCCTCTTGGATGAAATTAGGGTTCAACAACTGCAAAACAGACAGATGTGTGTTACAGACGCATACATAGATGCAGCATCTCAGAGAGTCATAGAAAACACTGATATTTTCAACACACAAATACAGAAAGCTTTATGTTGTGTCACTTCAGCACAAGCCAGCAGAGGGCAGTGCCATCGCATGAGACACACAGAGACTGGCTGGATTTGAAATGGCATACTACTCGTACTATTTCTGCCATATAAACAGTGCTGGGGAAGTTCATTTTTCGAGTAAAGTAAAGAGTTTGATTACTTTTTTATGGAAAGTAATGCATTACGTTTTTTTTTTTTTTTTTTCTCACATGGGCTGGGCTTGCTTGTTAATTTAATGGCAAAAAAACAAACAGAAGTTATATTTTTGCCAAATACAAAGGCCCTTTTACACTAAAAGTGTAATAAATAAACCTCGTACTAAAGGAATTGCACATTCACTCCTGTCCAGTAGAGGGCACCGTTCAAACAAACCTTTCAGATGCCGTCATTCTGGAATACAGAAGAATTAATGCAGTGTTCAAAATCGACCGGTATACCCTCATTCACCATTCCCTACATTACTCCACTAATATAGTCCACTGAAGGAGTGAATAAAAATGAGTGAGTGAATTCGGACACTGAGTACACTCTGACGGCCGTTAAGAAGATGGGACGTAATGAAAAACCTGTGGTCGTTGTGGTTTCTCCTTTAGTCGCACTCATAGAGAAGTAAGTAAAAGAAGCAACAATCGTAATTTAACTTCTAAAATAAATAAAGTTAGGCTACGTTCTGTATTTGAAAACTGCGCTATGCAAAGGAGTTGACTTACTGCGTTGCTCTGATTGGTTGTAGGTTTACCGACTATCCAATTGAGAGCAGAGGTTTTTTTTTTTTTCCTGGTTCGGTTAAGACAGACCTCATCATAATCAAAGCCCAATGGAGTGGCCTCAGACTCATTTTCTTATTAGAAAATGAGTATGACGAAGTCAGGCTACATAGTTTGTGCTGTTTAACAAACATTTGAAACTTAGCAAACTGGCAGCTCCAGTAGGTATGAAAAGGTTTATCTTGATATCCGTCATTGTTTATGTATGCTAATCAATAAAAAGGAATTTATACACCTATATGATATTACGCTGTACCCACATTGGACCAGCGGTTTGGAAAATGGATGATTCAGCCATCTTCTGGTCAGACGTGGGAATTCATTCAGCGCTTGACTCTCACAGTGCATTATGGGTATTCTCTAGCCATTGAGCGTACATCAGTAGTACACTCGTTATTGCATTGCATTGTGGGATTGAATGAGTGCACTCGATAACGTCCACTATGGTTCCGGACAGCACTACAAATGGCTGTCCCCTCAAATAGTGCCTTATTTATGGATATAGGGGGCGATTTCGGGCATAATGTAACACCCTTAGCTCAGCAATAAAAAATAAAATAAAAAAAGAAAGACAAATTTGATGTTTATCAAAAGTAATTTTTGCTTATTAACATGGCTGAATTAGATCATAAAAGGTCAGCAGCAAAGGCATCGAATAATAAAGTGAGATTAAATACATAAAGTATGTGTGTAATTTTACATATTTAATTATTGCAGGTTTGCGTTTTACCGTTTTTATTCATTTTGAGGAATACTGAATCTGTTCTTATGCAATTGAGATGAGTAAACGCATGTTCACATATAGTGTAGAGCTAATAGCCATCATGTTTACACACAACGCCTCTTCACTTACTCCCGATTTCTCTCATCAGAGCTGTGAGACATTACATTAATTAATAACTTTTTTTTTTTTACAACCAAATGAATTATCTTACTTAAGCTGGACTGTGCCGCTATTTACAAACCTTGTTGCATTATTTTCCTGTTGTCACCATAAAGCTGCTTTGAAACAATCTGTATTGGAAAAAGCGCTATATAAATAAAGCTGACTTGACTTGCCATGGGAAAATAAAGTAACTTACTTATAAAAGTGACTGATATTTTGTTGCAAATTTAAAAGTAATATATTACTTAAGTGACTTGGAAAAAGTCATCTGATTATGTAACTCGCATTACTTGTAATGTGTTTCCCCGAACACTATATAAATATATGGGAGAAAAATGCTATTTGGTATTCTGTTACTGTGTATGTTCAGAATGGCACGCTACCATATTATTAATACAATTTATCATATATTGGCCTAAATGAGAAGTAACTAAAGCACACTGCTTGTGATTCCCAAAACCCAATGCACTCCAACTGACTTCTAGTGATTTCTAGTGAGATGTGGTAATGAGTAATATCAAACACGAATATCTCTTTTATTTGGCCGGTGTTCTGACAATTCATGCTACCCATCGAGATTTGCTACTTACCGGTTATGCGCATGTGCAGACTCACAGTTTTTTTTGTTTTTTTTCACAAAAGGTACATTTTCCTGTTATAATGTATAATTTCCCTTTAAAAATGCTTACTACCATATGAATATTTGTACGGTCAGCCAGCTGAAAAAGAATAACTGAAAGTTTCAGTTACTATGAGGAAAGGTGTACTTTGACGAGTCAAAGATGAATATTTTATGATAATTTTTACTTTTCACACCGTTTTAAAAATAAAAACAGTAGTTTACAGTATACAGTATTTACTCATAACTTGTATTATAATTGTATTTCATACAACATTAATCGGCATTCTTTGATCAATTCGTGCTACGGTAGCATTTTTCGACAAGGCAGCAAAAATCGACAGAACACCGGCAACATGGAATGAAGTTCCCGCCTTTGAGTTATAAGAGCCAGATAGAGGCATCACCAGGTCTTTCTGCTCTAGAACAGTGACAACAAATCATTTTAGCCTGAGGTAAAAAATGAAAACTAAGCCTATATCAGAGAGCAACATAGTGTCGGCCCAGATCCGGTCCACATCTGGTACGTGTGGAATCCACGTGTGCCAGACGTGGGCCGGATCTGGGCCAACACTATGTTGCTGACTGGATGATACTTCTGTCAGATTTTTGCTTTTTGGCCGCTGACTGAACACACTCTCTCCAGATCATGTGACAGCTGTACTCTCAGAGACATTGCAAAAGCTTTTTACTAGATTTGAGGCCCGTTCACATCAAGACAGATAACTATAATAACCATAACTATATTAGCATCATTCCACACCGGCTGACAATAACGTCTTGTTTATCATGTGGTTCTGTCGTCTGCCATTCAAATGCGTAAGCTCTTTAAAGTCGGGTGAATTTGGATTGTATGTGAATTTTTTATCATTAATATGCTGTAAGTTGTTCTGAAAGTGATTTCCGCAATATCATTCCTTGGTGTTGTTATCGTTATAGTTGTGGTGTGGACTTCACAAATTTTCAAAGAATTAGAATGATTGTTAAAACTTTAGTTACAGTTAACGCTATAGTTATCATGCGTGGTGTGAACGGCCCTTTATACCAGTCACTCCACACAATTAGTTAAAATAATAAATTACCAACAACAACTTAGGCCAAATAAAGTGTAAAATGGGTTACAACGTAAGTAACAACTTTAGTACCTATTTACTATTCAATTCAGTTTATTAAAATAAATAATACTACCAATAAATACAAAAATAATGTATAAATCTACTGGGCAGCATGCATTGAGTTCAGGGTCTCTACCTCCATACTAGTTTTGGGGTCTAGATCATCCTCACAATCGGACTCGTCTGAGCTGCGGGACGCCTGTGGTTCGGGTCGAGAGAGAAACATGTTACACACTCACAAGTATAGGGATACAGCGGGACGGAGTGTACAGTCTGTAAGAAACCCAGGCCAAAATGACAGGAATACAACAATTGATATTAACTACTTAAAGGGATAGTTCACTTTGAAATTAATTTTTGGTATGTTTTAGCTTACCTCAAGGGCATCCAAGATGTAGGTGTCTTTGTTTCCACAGTATTTTCAATTTTGATATTTTTAGGTCAAACCGTTCGTGTCAGTCATATAATGGAGGTCTATGGTCACCACCTCAAAGAGCATGCACAGAGAAGTCCAAATTAAACATGATTTAATGACTCGTAAATGTAAGTACACATTGATGGCCTAAGACACGAAACGAGCGGTTTGTGTGAGAAAACGAACAGTATTTATATTGTTTCTACCTTTTCTAACCACAGCCACGACCAAGTAATCTGAGGGCGCGGGCGCTTCGGTCTGCACAAGCACAGGAAGTGATCTCTCGCGTGTGTACGTCACACATTGTTTACAGAAAGATTTCGAAAATGTTACCTTTCACTGTCAAGATCTGAACATATTTAGATATACAGGAAATCGCAATGGAAGGCGATTTCGATATATCAATAAATAACGTTGAATTTTTTTCCCAACTGCGCGAGAGATCACTTCCGGCGCTTGCGCAGACCAAAGCGCCTCGCCCATGGCTGTTGTTACAAGAGGTAAAAACGATATAAATACTGTTCGTTTTCTAACACAAACCGCTCGTTTCTTCTCTTAGGCCATCAATGTGTACTTACATGTACGAGTCATTAAATCATGTTTAATTTGGACTTCTCTGTGCATGCTCTTTGAGGTGGTGACCATAGACCTCCATTACATGACTGACAGACAAGAACGGTTTGACCTAAAAACATCAAAATTGAAACTACTGCGGAAACAAAGACACCTACAGTGAACTATGCCTTTAATAACAAAATAGAAAAAATGAGAAAAATAGTAGTTTTTTACATACACTGTAAAAAAATATTGTTGGTTTAACTTAAAAAAGTAAGTAACCTGGTTGCCTTAAAATTTTAAGTTCATTGAACTGGAAAAAGTAAGTTAATACAATGAAGGTGATTAATTTAACCATCATAAACTCAAAATTATATGTTATCTGAACTAAATAAATTATTTAAGTTGATTTGACAAAAGAAAATATGTTGTGATTGCTACACTGTAAAAAAATATTGTTAATTTAACTTAAAAAAAGTAAGTAACCTGGGTTGCCTTAAAATTTTAAGTTGATTGAACTGGAAAAAGTAGATTAATACAATGAAGTAGATTAATTTAACCATCAGAAACTCAAAATAATAAGTTATCTCAACTAAATAAATTATTATAAAGTTGATTTGACAAAAGAAAATATGTTGTGATAACAAATCTTGAAAATATTTTTTACAGTGTAGTATTTTACCAATCATAATATTAATAATAATACAAAAAGTTTATAAAACAAATGTAATTTATTGAGAAGTATTTGGATCTACTATATATATATATATATATACACACACACACACACACATTATGCATTTATAGTCATGCAATTGTTAGCAGATTATGTTATAATCATTTAACTTTTCTGATTAAAATATATAATGGCTTTTAAAAAAATGTAACAAATGCTAATATTTAAAACAATGTGTATTTCTGTCAGTCATGCTGTCATTGGACAGACGCAAGTGGGGTGAGTGATGTGTTCAGGGTTTATTTCCACACAGGTGAGGATGCAGCGTACACACACACACACACACACACGCCTCATCCTCCTACTCACTTTCTCAGTGACCTTGCTGCTGAGAATTTCCTTTGCCTTACGCAGTCCATTCTCAACTTTTATGTCACTTTTGAGGGGTGCACTGTCCTTCTCTGCACGCTTGCGAGCGCGAAGCGTGTTCCACGAGAGAGATTTCCTGTTGTGTCAAAACATCAAGTTGTCAAACCCACACACGCTGGAGGAAATGCAAATCTAACAGCGGGGAAAAGCAAATTAAAGTGCTGGAGGGGGAAATTATTTCAGGAGGGAAACAGGGAGGGCCATAAAAAGAAACAGCAAACAGCGAAACGTTCATTGTTGTTGACCTATTTTTAGCATCATCCAGCTCTATTTATAGAAGCCCCAAAATGTTTTTGGACACTTACGTGCAGCATTCAGATGTTAATAAGTGTGCCTAAATTAGAGTGACTTAAATTAGTGAGTATTCGTATGTGCGCCCAAATATTCTCATATTTCTGTATTACACAAGTATAATCTTGTACAGTTCATTCTTCATTTTATTATGTTATTAGGCTGTTAGGCTATTAACAAACGTTTAACAAACGTATATACAGTATATATATATGAAGAGTTCAGATGCAAAAGCCTCTAAATGCCATTTGAAATTTTCTTCTAAAATGACCAATTTTATCAAGCTTGTATATTTAAGTTTAGTAATTTCACTTAAATGACAATTAATAGGAAATCTTCATTGCCATTTAAGTGAAATTACTGAACCAATATACAAGCTTGATAAAAATGATCATTTTAGAAGAAAATTTCAAATGGCATTTAGAGGCTTTTGCATCTGAACTCTTCATATATATATATATATATATATATATATATATATATATATATATATATATATATATTAGGGTTGGGAAGAGATTAATCGCATCCAAAATAAAAGTTTGTGTTTACATAATATATATGTGTGTAGTGTGTATAATTATTTTGTATATAAATACACACATATGCATGTATATATTTAAGAAAAATGTGTTATTAATATCAAATATTCATATTTATGTATAATATTAATTTTGTATAAATATATATAAAGTATATACATGCAAATATTTGTTAAATGTTCACATGCATGCGTGTGTATTTATATATACAAAATAATTATACACTCTACACACATATATTATGTAAAGACAAACTTTTATTTTGGATGCATGTGATTAATCTCGATTATTCTCCCCCAGCCCTAATATATATATATATATATATATACATATATATATATGTGTGTGTGTGTGTGTGTATAAAATTAGCTCTTTTATTCAGCAAGGATCCAATAAATTGATCAAAAGTGTAAAGAATCCTGAAAAAAAAAAAGTCTTAGTTTCCAACGGTTTTCGATGTTGCGGACAATAAAAATGTTTCTTGAGCAAGGATTTCTAAAGGATCATGTGACACTGAAGACTTGAGTAATTCAGCTTTACCATCAAAGGAATACATTACATTTTTCAATATTTTCAAATAGAAACAGTTCATTTAAAATAGTAATAATATTCCATTTTGTACTGTATTTTTGATCAAATAAATGCAGCCTTGGTGAGCAGAAGAGACTTCTTTCAAAAAACATTAAAAAACATTTTTTTTGGAAGGATAGTGTAAGTAAATCTACATCATTACACCATGGTGGACACATGGTTTGTGTGAGAACAGCAATCATTCATATCATTCACAGTAAATTCTGCTTCACACACAAACCTGTCACACTGTCAAGGACCGCGGATGTTAGTACAAACGCAAAATAAGTCTTCTACACACTACATTACGAAATAAAACAAATGAAAGACATAATAAAAATAAGATGCACCACTTCTACACTAAAAAAAAAAAACACAATGAAGGATGTCTTCGAATGTACGATTAGCATTCAGTTGGCACTTTTATTTTATATTAAAACAAAAGCAGTCTATTTGACTGAGCCGCGTTAAGTCATGCGCATGTCAAAATTTTATTTTACATATTTAATATAATACATTTCAAATCATTAGTTACACTACAACATTGCAACTGTAGTTCTATTGCACAAACCTGACTTCATTAATAAAGATTCACTTAAATAGTGCAAAAGGCTCTTTACAGGAATGTGCTACAAACAGTAAACAAACCAACAGTATGTACAGTAAATGGCCAACATGTGATCCTGTAGAAGAAAACAAAAGTCTATACAAAAATACAAATACTTAAAACAAATACACAACCAATAAAAAAATTGCCATAGACAACAGTATATGTTCTCCGCCAGGAGAAAGAGGCCAAAACCTTCAGACGGCCTTCCTTTCACTTTTTCTTTTTTCTTTACAAACACACAAAAACAAAAATCATATCAACAAAAAACAAAATAAACAACGAAAATGGTGTTAGCAACTGAAATAAGTGTCCAGACGTGTCCATTTCCACACTGATGTAAGATTCTTGGCAACTCCTCAGTCTACACAAAATAACAACGACGTAAAGTCCTTTCGACATTTATCTGTTTGTTTTTAACTTCTAGCCCAGAAAAAAAAGAAAAGCTCAAGAAGAAAATCAAATCTTCCCGTGCAAAATGGTCCAAAGCATCCGGGTTAGTTCCAACAGAACGGGGTGGGGGAGGGTGTTCAAAAACGGGCGTGCAGTTTAAGAAAAAAAAAAAGAAATAATCCAATCATAGCTCCAGTTAGTATTGACTGACACTTACTTGATGTTTGAGTCTGCAGTAGTGTCTATGAGGGGTTTAGTGAGGGGGCCCAAGATGTGTCCCGGGACCCAGCCCTCCGCAGCTGGTGATTGGCTGTTAGCGGGTCGAAACACCAGGTACATGTTCTGCTGGTTCGTGGCCAGTATCTGCACTGTCTCACCCTGCGTGACACAGATCTCGTTCTCCTTCAGTGCGTTATAGTCCTGAGTCACCATCATGGACGACGACGTCCCGTTACAGCCCCCGCCGTCAAACTGCTGCACACACAAACAAAAGACATAAAACACTTAATACTGTATGTCAATTAATCCCTAATCTTCAGTGGTTAAGAACACTAACACATCTTTTAAAGAATGCTTAGGTTATTGGGTTGTGTAATGCACAGTGCACGCTGAATTTTCAGTGGGTTGTATTCCAAATGTCAAGGATGACAAGCTTCCCACAGAGGGACAGTGCATTTCTACACACTGGACAACAGTGAGTGTGTCAGTAATACTGATGAATACTATGGAAACACACTTTCACTTTAAAGGACAACTCCGGCGCAAAATGAACCTTTAGTCTAATTACACATTGCTACCTAGTCAACCGTTATCTGAGATTTGTTTTCATGATTGCCGAATGTAAATAGTTTTATCTCTAAAAACAGTTTAGCCTATAACGCTAGTGTAATGCGAGTATATAGGGCATAGAGTAATGACAAATAAAAATCACTTGTTATTACCACTAACAAGGCTCAAAATAGCCCCACACTAACATAATAAGGGTCCCCACATTCAAACCGAAGCATTGAGAACGTTGTCAGTGTCCATACAGTTTGATAAGCAGATATTTTATACACACAGTAAATTTCGCGAATACAGGAAGAAGCCATCTTGGAAAAATAGTCTCTACCAGTCGATCTACGAACGCCGATCCAAGTGCGCTGGTGAGATGTGAATAAGGTGATAAGGTGAGCGCGAACAGTAGGCTACGTGTACATATTGAAGAGAAGAAAACGTTTTGTGTTTCTTCTGGAAACAACGGACCATATGAGATTCTGCACAGTTCAGCGCACTTGGATCGGCGTTCGTAGATCGACTGGTAGAGACTATTTTTCCAAGATGGCTTCTTCCTGTATTCGCGAAATTTACTGTATGTATAAAATATCTTCTTATTAAACTGTACGGACACTGACAACGTTCTCAATGCTTCGGTTTGAATGTAGGGACTCTTATTATGCTGTCGTGTTGGTGTGGGGCTGTTTTGAGCCTTGTTAGTGGTAATAACAAGCGATTTTTATTTGTCATTACTCTATGCCCTATATACTAGCATTATACTAGCGTTATAGGCTAAACTGTTTTTAGAGATAAAACTATTTACATTCGGCAATCATGAAAACAAATCTCAGATAACGGTTGACTAGATAACAATGTGTAATTAGACCAAAGGTTCATTTTGCGCCGGAGTTGTCCTTTAACCTCTATGAGGTGTGAAATGCTATGAATTTTTATTACTGCGTAAAGTCAACATGAAATGGTATTTGCAGGCCATTTTCGCAATCTAATTTCATGAATATTTCAAAAGTCTACAGGTATTTTGACAGTAAGTAACATGAGGACGTGGGGGTGATTGACATTTAAAGTGCGGTCACATTTACTGTTGCTTCGCAAAATTGTGAAAGCGAAATCGGGTCATTTCAAGGAATTCACAAGGGCAAACAATTTCCACCAGCAGACTGCGCATCATGTCCAAGATAGTCATGCAAACTTGCCGGGTTTACAAACAGAAAGATGCTTACTTTGAAAGTAACTTCTGCGTGAGCTGTGCTTCGTGCATCACTACACTACTGACTACAGCGAAATTATGCAAAAAAGGCCCATTGTCTAATGTGCCCATGCCTTAAGTGGATTTATAGCCATAGTTTTTCTCCCACCATTCAGGATAAAATTCCAGGCTGAGTAACCTACTATTTAAAAACAAAAAAACAAAAAATAAAAAAAAAACACCAGGGTTATACGAAATGAAAATTTAATTCCTTTTGAAATCAAGGAGGGATTGACAACAATTGTTTTAGAGTTGGCATGTAATGAAAATTCACCTTATATATATATATATATATATATATATATATATATATATATATTTATTTATATATTCTCAATGCATATTATAGACCTTATTGTGAACATTTCATAAGTCAAGTCAAGTAACCTTCATTTATATTGCGCTTTTAACACTATAGATTTTTTAAAGCAGCTTTACAGTGATCATAGGAAACTACAGTAACAGAGATTGTTTAGGCTTTACAGCAGCTCTAGAATATAGTTAGACCATTTTGCAAGATGTAAACAACACTGGTCCAGAAACACTTCCTGAGGCGTGGAGCGTGGTGCGGAAGACGCGAATACACCTCGTTCGCGCGAATTGAACATCTGGCGCGTTAAGCGCATTTCGCACGAATGATTTAGTTAGTGGCATTTGTGCATTCACGCGTTTGACGCGAATTCGCGCCTGGCGCCCAAGTTGAAAAATCTGAACTTTGCCGTGAATTCGCGCCACGTTAACCAATCAGGAGCCTAGCTGCTTGCTCACGTGATGAAGTGTCTGGATGCTTCAATAAATTATTTTGTTAATATGACTAAATGCATGGTGGGATTATGCACAACAAAGCAAATATTTTATCACTTAAAACATTATTTCTATATACGAGACATGTTCATTTTGTATTGAATGTTATTCATTCCATATCAAGATTATATGAAATAGTATTATGATGTAAAGACAACCAACATACACGTGCATAAGTTCGTCTCTGGACGTGAGAGAGAGAGAGAAAAAAAAAAAAAAAATCACAGGACAGGTTAATAACTTTTGAGGGCTGGCTCTATTTTTCATCAAAACAAAAATAAATGACAGCTAGATTAGATGGATGAGGGCGAGGGTGATCCTCGCTCCGATGCGGGACAACAGGTCATCAAACTGGAGCGAGCAAATGGTGAAAACTAGTCAAACGGTTCACCGCAGAAGGGTCCGGAGGACACAAATATACGGCGGCGATGATCCCCACGCCACTGTTCTGCTCTCCAGAGTAAATACAGGGGCCAGTTGCACCAACAGGGTTTTACTAAGCCTGGTCCTAACTGCTAAGTAGGTCTTAGGTAAGACCAGTCTTTAGAGTTGACCTAACGTCGGTTGCACCGACCAAACTTAAGCCTAGGCATAACTACGCCTGGTTTTAGCGATGCGCGTTCCTGTGAATGGCCACGGAACTATAGTGGTTGCTTAGCAGCGTGCGTTGCTGTGGTTACGTTGTAAACTATCTTACGCTGTTTGGTTAAATTGAAGCCCTATCAATGGAGGATCAAAGAAAAAGGAAAGGAAATTTCACTGACATTGAGATATTAAAGTTAATAGAGCTGTACAGTCAGCACGTGACAATTCGCTTCATTCGCGGAAGCATTACGTCTGTCTCCTGCACGCGAGAGGAGAGGTAGAAGAACGTTGGTAATAAATGTCAGTTCAATTGTAAGTTCATTCTTTATGTGCTTAGGAGTGTACGCTATGTATCGTCTATGATGATATTGTAATCATTGTTTTAACTATGGACGAGGCACTGTGAGCTGACATTTGTTTCGCGTGCTTGTTTTCACTGCTTGATGCGTAACTGCAGTTATAGGTATGTCCCCAAATACGTTTTTGTCTTATATTTATATCATATTATGTTATTAAAATGTTATTATTTTATACAACAGTTAATTAACAATAAGTTAACATTATGAGTTACTTTTTAGACACAATATTGTGAATATTGTTTGTTTCCCCTTTATTTCGCTGACGAGAATTTCAAAATGAAACCGTAGCAGAGTCTCCATGCAATAGACAGTGAAGATTTGACCGTTATTAACAAATCATTTTAACGATTCATTATCTGTCGTAAAACGGATAGGCCTATTAAAGCTATTATATGCCTAGAATTTGACTTTACGCCTGCTACTGACTAGGCGTAAGATTTACGCTCGGTCTTAGTGAGAAGAGGGCTTAACCCTGGATGGTGCAACAGTCGTAACTATTAGGTCGGACTTAGAATGCTGAGTTAAGACCTACTTACCTTAAGACTAGGCGTAAGCCCTGTTGGTGCAACTGGCCCCAGAGCGGTAACTCTCTTGATGAATGCTCGGTCGACATAAAAACAATTGCCGCCAACGGATTTCGATTCTGGCGCGCGTCACGCCCGTAAATTTCGCTTCAAACTTTTGTTTTTACGCGCGTCAGTTTCACTCTTGACACGCGAATTAACACAAAGTGGTCAAGCGTCAAACTAGACGCGTCAGGCGCGAATTTGACGCGCTATTCGCGTCCGATGTGAACACAGCATTAGAGCTGTGCGTGTAAACCTCAGAGGTGCGCTAGAGACTTTGGCCTTTAGCGTCCTTGTTAGCATGCCCGCCTCCTATACCAGGGACAGTCTGAATCCAGCTCGGAGATTCATGAGCCACGTTTAATGTTAGCAGAGGTGCTGTGTCCTCACCCTTTGGTATCTGTCCGAGTCGTGGCACGGCCCACCGTTGGAGGTAGATAGCTTTATCGGGGTGGAGCTCCGTCCAGACAGAGAGGGTTTCTCTGCTCCCAGTGACACAGTGGAGCTGGGCCTGCTGTTGGACTGACCCACTCGCCCACTGCTGGAGGAGTTTCGGGTCAGAGATTGAGAGCCGCTGCGCTCCTTCTGATACTCGATGGGTGACTGCAGAGCTGTAGATACAGTAGACCGTTGGTTTCAATAGCTCAACATGAGGAGAGTTTAACAACACATTTACGATTCACATGGACGTGACATCTTCTTACCTGACAAGAAGTTGCTCTGTAAGTCTAGTAGATCGGTGATATGCTGAACCCAGACCTGTTTGATGTCCGTGTTTGCCGCTTGCAGGGTAAAACGTTCGGATGACCCACGACACCACAGCACAAACTTACACGGATCGTTTTCAACATGCTCTTCCAGACCGAGGAGGTTCACCTGCACACACACACGTTTACATTTTACATTTATTCATTTAGCTGACGCTTTTATCCAAAGCGACTTAAAATTGCTATATATATCAGAGGTCGCACGCCTCTGGAGCAACTAGGGGTTAAGTGTCTTGCTCAGGGACACATTGGTATCTCACAGTGGATTCGAACCTGGGTCTCTCACACCAAAGGCATGCGTCTTATCCACTGCGCCATCACCACCCCTTACACACACATAAGTCTGTATCACACCTGACTTCAGCTGCCAAGACACCAGCGTTGTCATTTTCAGAACTCCTAAATATTAAAGCCCAAAGTTTAATTAAGTTTAAGACACAAGTGCTTACCAAATGCATACATCCAAATACACTCTACTCCATTTGATATATGTGTGAACATAAACGCTCGGCACATGAGCACTACAAAGTTACATGCTTGTAGTTTTTTTATGACCAAGAAAAATATATTTTTACTTGTTTAATCTACAATTACAGGTATCTCTTAGGGCCCCAATATACTCAACAAAGTTATTTTTTGTTATTAACTTCGGGGTAGAAAGAACCTTAGGTGAATATGTTTGTTTGGTAATTGTTTGGTATTTGCTATCTGTGTAATAACTTAAAGGTATAGCGGAGGATCTTTCCGAATTTTAGAGAAGACCCGCCCTCTCCAATTTTTTAAAAAAATGCACATGCACAAACACAACACTCTTGCTCCCGAGAGCTAGGGAACGTCTATACGCCTTGCACAATTATGTTGCAAATTCTAAACTAACTAAAAACATTCATAAAAAAGACAACATGTCAAATGCCCTTCCGTGTTTTATTTACTTATTATACTGATCGATTGAGTGACCGAGGACTCAAGACATGATATGTGCAACCCTGTATCACACGAAATACGTTCTGAGGAAACTATTTTGCAAATCGCAATTACGTTACATAGCAACATATAAGCAGTGCTATTACGTTGGTCCTTAACCTAATATCTCTCATTGTTAATACGTTATTTTTATACATAGTTGCATATGGAGAAGTAGCTTGTTGCATTTGTGTAATAATAAACACACACGATTTTAGAATATTTCAGCGTGATACCATTTACCATTTTGGACAAAAGGCTACTTTAGACAAATTGAGATGTTTACCGTGTCTATGCGGTGCATGACTCGTGCCAGGGCTAGCATTGTAGCTTGCATTAACTTTTACTAGTGATTTTAAATGGATTTCTCCAAATAGCATGACAAACTTTACCTGTCTAGTAGAATCTTCGCGACTGCGGCATCAGTGCTTTTAGCGCACGCCAGCGTGTGATATTCACCCAAAATCTCTCTGGTCTTGTTTCTATATTCTGCGGCCTTTCTCTTCTTATCATACACTTAGTAAACATTTTTTCTCTTTCGACCCTCAGCCATTTTCAAAGGAATGGCTGAAACCGTAACTCCGACATAATACACCTGAAAGTGAAAACTACATAGGGATGAGCACGTAGCCTACGACGGCCTTACATAAACATATCACCAGAATGATTGACACTTAGGTGGACCAATAGTATAGACTACCCACCCGGAAAAAGATAATCCTACGCTATACCTTTAATTAAATAACTTTAATGAAGTCATCAAGTGCACCATCACACAGAGAGAAAGACAGTACTCTTGAAAAACTAACAACATGGATAATTAATTATTAACTAATGAGCATGTTATAATGCTTAGCCCCTTTTTTATTTTCTCATGGAAACACAAGTGAATAAACATGTAATTACTGTATATTTGGTTGGTAATGTGTTTGCACTTGCAAGTGTCCAATAAACAACTAGTTAGAAAAAACGAATATGCTAACTGAGCATACACTGTGAAGCAAATATTATCATCATTACAGTATACATGCACAGTCATTGTACACATACCCTAGCTTACACGTAACAAAGTTTGGGCTTAAAATAACAGTGAAAAAAACTCCATGACTAAAAGTGGTGCAGTTACCTTGATGCTCTTTTTAAACTGGTATCCTGGTATGGACGAGCCTTTGCGTAAGAGCTCGCTGAAGATGACGATCTGTTCAAACAGGAACACCCTGCGCTCTTTACTGCGAGACAGAACGCCAGAATCCTGCTCCGTCACAAAAAACGTCTCCTGCTGCAAAAGCTTTCCCTGGCTCGTCAACTTCCCCTGAAGGACACAAACATAGAAACTCATCAGTCTGGGATAGTTCACGTTCCAATGAACTCATCACTAGCTTTTATACATATACATATACATATACATATATATATATATATATATATATATATTCCAGAGAACATTACCAGATGCCACAAAATGGGGAGTTAAAGGCACACTATGCAGGAATTCCGTTTTTGTCAAACAGCGACCCCTAGAGTCGCTGTGGAGTACTTGTATTTAATGTTACTGTCGTAAATACCACTCACGCAGAACATCTCTGCCATAGACTGGTCTCTGCACTCACAGCCTGATACTTTGAAGCTGTTATTTCAGCGCAGTCTCATCCCAAGACGTCATATAGCTGACGTCTTGGGACGTCTTTTGAACATACGTCAACATCCGTCTATTTGGGGTAACGTCGGTTAGATGACGTTATCGGATCCTAACCCTACCCCAGACCTAAACCTACCCCGTCACCTAACCTGACGTTAAAGGTAAAGCGTCGGTTGTATAAAGGTAAGGGTACCCTAAAAAGGCGGATGTTGACGTATGGTCAAAAGACGTCCCAAGACATCAGTTATATGACTTCTTGGGATGAGACTGTGTTAGTTATATTAAGGTACAAATCTTGCATAGTGTGCATTTTTTGCTTTAAGTAAGAGATCTAGAGCTAAAATGTGTTTTTGAACTCAATCTATCGCAGTTGCGGAGACTCTCTATTCATTCCAGTGAAATCACAAAATAAAATGCACAAAAAACGTGTCCCTGCTTGATATAGACAGTAACCACTGATGAACATATTCAAGTTTTGATGAGAGAGAAAAAAACTTAGAACCTGTAACCTCTGATACGCTTGGAAAAAGATCTACCACAAGACCAGTAAAGAACTCAAACAAAACTTGCGGATCGATGCATTTATTTACGGGTTGAGAGGCTCATTCTCTTTTCCTTTTCCTAGTCTCTCCCGACCGCATCTTCTTTGCTTTTTCCATCGTTGAGTATCACGTCTGAAATGCTCGTGCTTCATGTTGTTGTTGATGTGATGATTCTGTTTTTTCCACTAAATATTTTACTTAAAACATTCCTCAGACGCTTATTCAGTTATTTATATTTATAATATACGTTGTTAAAAAAAAGCAAAAGTAGTTTCAATGTAGCTAGTAACTTGTAGTGTAGCTAACTACTTTTCCAAAAGGGTAGCTTGACTGTAGTTTAACTACTTTAACTTACGAGTAGCTTGTCAAACTACAGTTTCAGAGTAGTTTCCCCAACACCGCAAACCTCATTGTTTTTCGTGCGGAAACTGGAACATGCATGTTATGAGCAAGCATGTTTGGGATACCATTTATCATATTTGATGAGCTCTATGTATGTGCCAAATCTTGACAATTACATTTCTCAGGTTTCATTAAAATATCTTTATTTGTTTTTTAAAGATTGACGAAAGTCTTATGGTTAGGAACAACAAGAGGGTGAGCAATTGATGACAGAACCCCCCCCTTAATCACAGTAAAATAACATTAAGATTGTACAATGTCTTTTAGACAATGTTGTTTGGTTTAAGATATTCAAGAATGAGTGAAGTAAAGCTGTGATCAGAATACCTCATATCCCTGCAGTCTTCCCAGATTCATCATGTCATTGCACAGCTTGGGCACCTGGGACATCAGGTCTACTGCTTTCTGTTACAGAGAAAACCAACACACACCTGTATGACCATTGGGTTTGAATCTAAACTGCTTCATATTTTTGAATTTAAATATTTTACAAATATCTAAAATGCAATCACCTCATTTTATGATTGACCATTAAAAAAAAGAAAAAAGTAAGCACTTTAGATTCATTCTTACCTCTATATACTGACAATCCAACCCTGCCTTGATGCTGTACTTTAAGAAGTCCTTAAGCAATAAAAGAAATTATAAACATTAATTGAATTTTATTATTTATTACTGGCAGCATCAAAGACTTATCTTTTCTATTGTACCTTTAATAAAAGCTGGTATTTAGTAATTCTCTGAATGGGTTTAATGAGAAAATCACTGATGCCCAGTCTCGAGTTGATGTCTTGCTGAATCCCCTGTGAGCCAAAACAGACACAAGAATATAAACTTGTAATGATTAATAGTTTATATTTTATTTTAGAACCAATTTTACAGTGCTGCAGAAACGAGTCCGAAAACCTGCAAATAAGTTGGCATTTTTATGAACTCCTGGTTGCATCATCTCAAAGTCAGTGAGTTTTTTTGAAAGGATTTCTGATAAATGCTTGATATAAGGTCTGTGGTTGACACCAATTTACATTTTATGTTTATGTGTCTTGAAAAAGGCGGTTGCAAACAAGTGGCTAAATGGGACTCCAGAGGTCATCAGGGACATTAAATGTCATCAAGCCGAAAAAGAAAATGTATATACTCACTAGTCCGTTTTTTACAGAAACATTGTGTTTGTACTCATGCTCTTTTTCTAAACTCAAAAATTTCCAAATTGTACATTTTGGAAGCTTAGAGGGTAACACTTTAGAATACGGTTCCTTCGTTAATGAATAACTACACAAGAACTAATGAGTAACACAATATTAACAATCTAGTAACTATTATTAACTAACAAGAAACTCTGATTAACGAACTAGTAAGTAATAGCGCACAGACGAAAGTGGTAGTTCACTATTAAGTAATCAATAACTATTATTTTTTTAATACCTCCCAGAGAACTACTGAAAAAGTTTATTAACAATCTAGTAACTACTATTAACTAAAATAAATTATTATTAACGAATTAGTAAGTAATAGCTCACAGATGAAAGTGTTACTAGATACTTCTGTGGGAAATACTAATTATTTGGATCCGTATTATAAAGTGAAGATCATTGGAACTAACTAGTAATTACTCAAGTGTTACTAAAGACATTTTCTAAAAGTATACTAAAGTTCACCAAAAATCTCAAACGGTTGCACAAATCATGACTAGATCATGTAGTAACACTTGAGTAATTACTAGTTAGTTCCAATGATCTTCACTTTATAATACGAATCCAAATAATTACTAACTCTCACAGAAGTATCTAGTAACACTTTCATCTGTGAGCTATTACTTACTAATTCGTTAATAAGAATTTCTTTTAGTTAATAGTAGTTACTAGATTGTTAATAAACTTTTTCAGTAGTTCTCTGGGAAGTATTAAAAAAATAGTAGTTATTGATTACTTAATAGTGAACTACCACTTTCGTCTGTGCGCTATTACTTACTAGTTTGTTAATCAGAGTTTCTTGTTAGTTAATAATAGTTACTAGATTGTTAATATTGTGTTACTCATTAGTTCTTGTGTAGTTATTCATTAACGAAGGAACCGTATTCTAAAGTGTTACCGCTTAGAGTTGATGTGAAGTTGAAGTCACAAGTCCATGGTTTCGTTTGTTTACAGCCTGACTTTAGATTTTTATTTTTGCAGATTGTATGAAGGCTTCAAAATTCAAAGTTGTTCATTTGTGAAAATGATCTTGATGAATGAACAAAACATGCAAGTATCATAAACTTTTATTGGTCTCAGAGCTTATTTTCTGCAATACTTCAAAAGCCAATGGAAAATTTGTATTTTTTGATGAGGGAACCAGGATGATGCTACTGTAATGCCACCTTCATGTGCCTTGGAAATTTCCTACTTCCCACTTCTGAAGTTCTGATTATGAGATTGTCGCGTTTAAGTGCTTTGTTGTCAGAAAAATAATAGGAATCAATGCCAAAATGTATTAAAGATATTTCATTCTATAGAGTCACATTCGTTGACAACCATAAAAGCATTCAAAACTCGTATTTACAATAATTCTGATAGCATGTGAAGGCAGTATAACTTTTAGGTTGGTCTACAAAAATATGTCATCCCTGCTGCACAAGTGTGTCTCACCTCGAAATATGAATCGTATTCTGCAACGATGAATTCAGATTTGGGTTTGTTCTGACAGTAAACCACATACATGTGCAGCCTTCTCTCCTACACACACAGAAACAGAAAACACTTCATGAGCACATACAACCTTTATGACTTTACACTGTTAGACCATCAGACCTGATGTCAGTCACATACTTACATGTTTACTAAACAGCTCAGGCAGTTTTTCTTGATCTTCAAGACATTTTTCCAGTTCACCAACAAAAAAACTTTAGACAGAAACATAGAATTAGTTTCATTTCAGTCATTTTCCAATAAGAGGAGCTTATGTGTGACACTTACTCTTTGTGCCAGTCGTATATTTGGTGAATGTTTCCAAAGACGATCTTATCTTTTCCTTTCATATGATCGGGAACTCCTTTTTCCTCTATTCTCTTCATAAACCCCTTCAGAAAATTATTTCATATACAAATGAGACTCCTCCCAAAGCACACAAAGTTGATAAAAGCCACAATGTCCGTCTACAGTGGTTGTAAATTATGATAAATGAAAACTGATGATTGGACATCCACTCAAGTAAATACTGAAACACTGATGATGTAATGAAAATGCAAATGAGGAATGAGAAATATGCAAATGGATTGATATGTTCAGATGGACAGAACAAAGTCAAATGAAGAAGGATAAACGACACTAGAGTGCCTTAAGATGATATTTTCATGCTAAAGGCAAAGTATACCTTTTTTGTGTTTTACTATGCACTGTATTATAATGGTGTGTTATTTTGTCAGGATGTCAGCTATTTTCTGATGTTCTTACCTCAACCACGATACCCAAATCTTTCACGTAGTCTTTTTCTGTCTGGATTAATTCATTCAGAACAAACCTACAACAGAAAAACAAACAAACAAACATAAAATAGTTATTAAAGATTAATCTAAAAAATATGTGTCAGGCACGTCACACTGAACGATAGAGAAAGATTTGAATAAAAAGAGAAAATGCCTACTACGGATGAACTTCCCAATAAATACCATCGATCTTTAAAGGGATAGTTCACTTTGAAATACATTTTTGATATGCTCAAGGGCATCCAAATGTAGGTGTCTTTGTTTCCACAGTAGTTCCAATTTTGATATTTTTAGGTCAAACCGTTCTTGTCTGTCAGTCATATAATGCAGGTCTATGGTCACCACCTCAAAGAGGCCCACATTGATGGCCTAAGACACGAAACGAGCGGTTTGTGTGAGAAAACGAACAGAATTTATATCGTTTTTACCTCTTGTAACCACAACCATGTCCAAGTGACCGCCGGAAAGCACCGGAAGTGATCTAAATATGGTTGTGAAAAAAATTCACAACTTTGTCTGTTGATATATGGAAATCGTCTTCCATTGAGATTTCCTGTATATCTAAATATGTTTAGATCTTCACAGTGAAAGGTAACGCGTCCAAAATCTGTGTGTAAACAATGAGTGACGTACACATGCAAGAGATCACTTCCGGCGCTTTCTAGTGCTTGCGCAGACCGAAGCGCCCACGCCTTCAGATCACTTGGACGCGTCTGTGGTTACAAGAGGTTAAAACGATATAAATGCTGTTCGTTTTCTCACACAAACCGCTCGTTTCGTGTCTCAGGCCATCAATGTGTACTTACATTTACGAGTCATTAAATCATGTTTAATTTGGACTTCTCTGTGCATGCTCTTTGAGGTGGTGACCATAGACCTCCATTATATGACTGAAAGACAAGAACGGTTTGACCTAAAAATATCAAAACTAAAACTACAGTGGAAACAAAGAGGTAAGCTAAAACATACCAAAAATTAATTTCAAAGCGAACTATCCCTTTAATGAGAGCCATATTATTCTTTCTCAATACTTCCTGCTATATTGAATCCAGATCTCATGACGGAACTTACCGAGCATACAAAACAATGCTGTGTTCAGGGCTAAATGACTTTGTTGTACAGGTGTGTGCTTAGCCAGCTATTCCCAAACTGTGGTCCGGGGACCAGAGATCACCATTGTGATCACCAGTTATAGTTTTGTGCGGATTAATTCAGGTAGGACTGTGTGTAGACATATTTTATTATCTGTATTATGAGGAGGTCCGCAAAAATTGTTGATTACAAATTGTGGTCCACACATACAAGTTTGAAAATCCCTGCTTAGGTACATATGATGCTATTTTAACCAGCTAAGAGTTTATAAAATGATTAAAGGAGTTAAAACAACGTCAGGAATCCCTCCGTCACACACACTCACAAACCAAGATCTGCTGTGAGGAGACGCGGTTCTGATGCCTGAACCGAACTGTGATAGGCAACATCACGACTGTGATGAGACAAAACAGGTATGCTTGAGCACTCATGTCCTGTTTTTAGTTTGTTTACATGTCTTTGTTTAGTGTTGCATTCACGTTTCATTCGAACCGCATCAGAGTTTGTTTGGAAGCGGACAGAGACCCATCTTTTCAGCGTTCATTTTAATCGAACCAAACATGCCAAGTGTGAATACACCCTTAATAATTAACAAGATACATTTTTCCCAACAAAAGCATTATACTGTAAAACATGAAAACTGCAATGCCGGGAGTTCTGTGCTACTTTTAGGGCTTTAACCCTGGGTCATTCTAAAAAAAATGTGTAAATGGGGTTATCTTGCTTCACATTTCACACTGCCCATTATTTACCTGTGGTTAACAATCAGTCCAGGGTATTCATAAACTGCCTTTTTACACTACATTCCTAAACTCTGGGTTAATGTTCTCATTTGCATATTTTTCTGTTTCATTGTCATTGATTGGATGAACGCCGAGACCTGTTTATATAAATTGTGTTTTGGCATTGTGCATCCTCATATTATATATTGCCAAATGTGTATTATCAAGTTTACAATAGTCAACATTTGAAGTGGATCAAAAAAGTTCAAAGTTGTCCTAAGACAAGAACTGGTATTGTTCAAATTTCATGTATAATTTTGATGAAAGGTTTCGATCCACTTCAAATGTTGGCTAAGATCATGTGGATTATGTGATATTAGAATGCGACTGACCTCGATGACATTGTTGTTACATTACATTTCTACTGTAGAATGTAAGGGAGGGGGATTTATTTTTAATTTTATTTTTATTTTATTTTTAGTCTACTTGTTTTTCTGTTTTTGTAAACTGAAAAGCTGAAAATAAAGTATTCAAAAAAAAAGAAAAAAGAATGAAACGGTCTCTTCCTCAATCCAATTTTATGTCACCATATGACATTTATCCCCTCAAACGCTGGAACTACCGTTTACTCAATGCTCAGCATTTCCATGACAGTCCAAAGCATGTGAATATGAGGCACGTGATTGGCTGCCGGTTGCTAAGCATCGTAACATTATAACACCACTTTGGCACCACAATACACTGATTTCACGCAGCCGCCATTTTGAAATCGCTCTGGTGGGAAGAAAACCGGAAGTGTCGCTTTTAATCATATAAGAGTTGCGAATTTGATGCTGTATATACATTTCTTTCATACTTTAGAATATATACAGTGAAATTTATTTATAAACAAAATATTTTTTTATAAAAATTCAGAACGTAAAAATGAAGCAGGAACAAACTATAAACATATCCTATATTGGATATTAACATCCAATAGTATATAGATTGCGGCAGCAGCTTCATGGTGCGTTCACACCGGGCGTGAATAGCGCGTCAGGCGCGAATGATTTCAATGTTAAGTCAATGCGAAGACGCGTTACGCGCATAAAAAATTCCTGCGGCGCGAATGAGGCGTGGAGCGCGGCGCGGAAGACGCGAATACTCCTCATGCCCCATCAAGTTCGTACGAATTGGGCGTATGGCGCGTTAAGCACGTTACGCGCGAATGATTTAGTTAGTGCTATTTGTGGATTCACGAGTTTAAAGCGAATTCACGTCTGCTGCCCGAGTTGAAAAATCTGAACTTTTGCGTCAATTCGCGCCACGTTACAGGAGCCAAGCTGCTTGCTCACGTGATGAAGTGTCTGGATGCTTCAATAAATTATTTTGTAATATGACTAAATGCATGTGGGATTATGCACAACAAAGCAAATATTTTATCTCTTAAAACATTATTTCTATATACGAGACATGTTCATTTTGTATTGAATGTTATTCATTCCATATCAAGATTATATGAAATAGTATTATGATGTAAAGACAACCAACATACACGTGCATAAGTTCATGTCTGGACATGAGAGAGAAAAAAAAAATATCACAGGACAGGTTAATAACTTTTGAAGGCTGGCTCTATTTATCATCAAAACAAAAATAAATGACAGCTAGATTAGATGGATGAGGGCGAGGGTGATCCTCGCTCCGATGCGGGACAACATGTCATCAAACTGGGAGCGTGACAGGCGGCTGACAGCGGCCGTCATCCAGCGCAGCTCCTGGAGCGAGCAAATGGTGAAACTCGCCAAAGGGTTCACTTCCGAAGGGTCCGGTGGACACAAATATACGGCGACGATGATCCCCACGCCACTGTTCTGATCTCCAGAGTAAATAAAGTGCGGTAACTCTCTTGATGAATGCTTGATTGACATAAAAACAATGGCCGCCAACGGATTTCGATTCTACATTTCGCGCATCCATTTCGCTTCAAACTTTTGTTTTTTCACTCTTGACGCGCACATTAACACAAAGTGGTCAAGCGTCAAACTAGACGCGTCAGGCGCGAATTTGACGCGCTATTCCATATATGAGGCTTCCATCTCGAGTCTACAGTTGGTCCAAAATGCTGCCGCTAGACTACTTGAAGGGAAGCGAAAGTTTGACCACATAACACCTATCTTAATGTCTTTGCACTGGCTCCCAGTAAAGTATAGGATTCAGTTTAAAATTTTATTATTTGTCTATAAAACTATGTCTAGAATAACTTGGCTCCTCAATATTTAACTGATCTTCTGACTCCGTACACTCCTTCTAGAAATCTGAGATCCTCTGACCTTGGCCATCTTACAGTCCCTAAAGTTAAACTCAAAAAACGTGGTGAGCGTGCTTTTGCTGCTGCTGGGCCGAAGCTGTGGAATAGCCTTCCTCCTGCAATTAGGCAAGCTCCATCTATCTGTACTTTTAAATCTCAACTCAAGACTCATCTATTCACCCTGGATTTTAACACCCTGTAATCAGTCTTCCTGTTTTTTTCTGTTTTTCTTTTTATTATTATTATTTTTTTTATTTTTTTTGTGCCTTCTTGTCTCATTTGGTTTTAAGTTTGTATTGCAGTTTTATATCTGTGTCTCTTTTATTCCTTGTAAAGCACTTTGGTCAACCTCGGTTGTGTTTTAAATGTGCTCTATAAATAAATGATTGATTGATTGATTGATTGATATTCGCGTTCGGTGTGAACGCAGCATCAGGTTGGTAGTCCAAGACATTGTTATCTATCTGTACTTCCGGGGTTCTTCCCACCGGAGTCTCGCTTTCCATTTCAAAATGCTGTCTGCATGAAATCAGCGTATAACAGCACAAAAGTGGTGCTCAGCAGCAGAGTTTCATAACCCTGGGGAAATAGTGGTGCTAATCCCACTTCTAAATGACAAGTGTGAAAAAAAAAACAAGAGGTTAAAAGAGGGGTTTAGAACGACGATAATCTGGGGTTAGGCGCATCGTGAAAAGCCCTTTTGAGTAAGAACATATGAATTATATAATGGCTTAATGTCAATCTGGCAGCCCAACTAACTATATATATATATAAAGCTTAAAACTAACAAAGAAAGGTTGATTTTTACATTACATTTGCTAAGCAGCAGGAACTAGACCCTACACACACCAGTGATTTGGCCACTATGACCTGGAATCAGACCTGTACCGTTTTGTAGATTTACTGCATGAACAACCCATGAGTGTAGAGCGTGTGTCTCTTACATTCGTCCACGCAGTGCTTTGGCTTTCTGCTCCAGCTCAGGGTTTCTGGGTGGCAAGGGGCTTTGCTCCGCTGGGTTCACGGTGCTGAATCCTGGGTATGATCCTGGCTCCAGTGTCTACAGGCAAACACAAATACAAGAGACTCCAGTCAGTTTGACAGTCTGTACGTGGAAATGCCAGGCCTGATGTGGGAGAACAAACGCAGCAATTGAATGGTTTATGTGTGACACGGCCCTAAACTTCATCACCATCAGAGCTGCTCAAGAGATTCAGCTGGAGAAAAGCACCATGATATCCAGCGCTTTGGCAAGTTTGCAAAAGACTTTTATTACTTCATTACCACAAAAAAAAAAAAGAAAAAAAAAAGCTGCTCATGCCAGCCTTCTACTTTTCAGCCGCGGCCTCAGAAGACGCAGACGGCTACATGTCATGTAGTAAATGAGACGATACTGTTCCGATCAGATCAGTCAGACTGAAACCGATTTCCAGATATGGGATTTGCATAGGATTTTTTTTAAACCACATTAATTTTTTTTTAGAATAGCTCTAAAACAGGTTCCACATCAAGTTCTGGAGGAGGTGTTCGATCCATATTTGTGCTGTGTAACAAATTAAAGGAATAATTTGAGTGCAAAACAAGTCAAGCTTAATCAATAGCATTTGTGACATAATGGTGACCATTTTTTTTTGTAACAAATATATATTTTTTAATAGCTTAAGCAACTTAGGTACTTAGATGAAAGTGAATGAGGTACGTTAAAAAAATAAATAAAAGTAGTTAAATTCAATCTTCTGATGCAGTGTTAGGTTGTTTTAGCTATTATTGTAAAATTGGATATGGCTTTACTATGCACAAAAGCACATATATATATATATATATATATATCAAATTTTAACATGATTTTAGTGAGTGGGGGGTATGGTTTTATTAAGCTTTTCATAAAATTAATTATAATTTGTATAATTAATACATATATATATATATATATTAATATATATATATATATATATATATATATATATAATAATATATATATATATATATATATATATAAATTATATATATATATATATACATATATATATATATATATAAATTATATATATATATATATATATATATATATATATATATTAGGGCTGTGCAAAAATTAATTGCGATTAATCGCATCCAAAATAAAAGTCTGTGTTTACATAATATATTTGTGTGTGCTGTATATAATTATTTTGTATATATAAATACACACACATGCATGTATATATTTAAGAAAATGTGTTCTTCATATATAAAATATTTATATTTATATAATATAGATTATGTATTCATAAATATATACAGAATTTAAGCGCAAATAATTCTTAAATATAAACATGCATGCATAGGTATTTATATATACAAAATAATTATATACAGCACACACAAATATATTATGTAAACACAGACTTTTATTTTGGATGCGATTAATCGCAATTAACTTTTGCACAGCCCTAATATATATATATATATATATATATATATATATATATATATAATTGATTATTTTAATAATTGAGTATTTTATGAAGTATTTTTAAAATATTTTATTTTAATAATTGAGTATTTTGACATTAATGGATTGGCTCCATTCACTCACATATTAAGTGCCTCATTAAAATACAGATTTTAGCTGCTTTAAAAGAAAAAAGGAACAAGTTGAAATCCATTTTTGCAGTAAATCAACAAGATGCAACAAATGCTGTCGATTGAGCTTGTACTGAACTTGTATATACCCTAACTAAAAACATACATGCATGGAAAAATAAATATAATCTAATAATCTCATATAGCCTAACATGTGATCCAACCAAACCCTAATGTGATTTCTCTGTACGCCCATTTCAGAATCCATTGGAAAGTAGGGACATTTTATACATAAAGCAGCTTTAATGGGAACTGAATCTTTGAGTGGATCAAACTGATGTCCAATGACAGAAACATGCGCTTAAACACAATGACAGCACAGCACAGATCAGCATGGTAACAACCAAACCAAACGCGGTCAAGTGCACGTGTGAAGAAATATTACAACAATAAACAGAGCCACACAAACCAAAAGACACATTTCAGCACATTCACGTGTTATCGGTGCATGGGACTACTGCAGATGAGTTCAGTTAGTTAGTGATTGTCTTAGAGCAAGAGAAAACGGAAAGGAAACGAGGAAAACCAGGAGGTTGGCGGATCGAATCATCCTGCTTGTGCCAGGATGGGTTCAGTGGCACACTTACCATCTTAGTTTTGACCAGTTTCTCTATAGCACTGACAAGTTCAGCAGCACTGGGGATATCAGCCGAGCTCTGCCGTGAAGCCATCAGCACAGAAGACTACAGGACAGCAGGACAGGAGGAGAGAGACGTTAGCAGGAGGAACAGAGGAGGAAGTGCTCAGGATAGACAGTTTATCAAGCTTTGGTTTGGAGAGAAGAGAAGCAAAGTGCCAATCTCACAACCAAACATGCCAAACATTTCACCCCCAAGTCAAAAGGGAATACAAAATATCAGAAAACGAGGCCTACTTTTATGACCATTGTTGCATGGTGAGTCACATTAAAATAATAGTTTCTCCCCAAATGCTCATTGATGCAAAAAGATGTTATATCATTTGTTTATTATGGTTTATTGCATACACTGCTGTTCAAAAGTTTGGGGTCTGAAAGATTGTTTTATGTTCACCAAGGCTGCATTTATTTGATCAAAGATACAGTAAACACAGTAGTAATGTGACATTTTCTTACAATTTAAATGAACTGTTTTTTTTAAATGTAATATATTTTAAACTGTAATTTATTCCTGTGATCAAAGTTGAATTTTCAGCATCATTACTCCAGTCTTCAGTGTCACATGATCCTTCAGAAATCATTCTGATATGATGATTTGATGCCCAAGAAACATTTCTTGTTACCATTTTTGGTAACACTTTATAATAACTGCACGCTATTAATCATTAGTTAAGCATGAGTAAACCGTTAATTCATAATTTATAAAACATTAATAGACATTAATATGCAGTTTATAAATATAGCTATACATGCTTTTTTTCTTGATTTATAAGCACATCTATAATGCGTTTAATGATTGTATTTTCATACTTTGTTTATGATCAATTAATAATTTCTAAATGAAGTATAGCATTATTTACAAACCAGTTGTTTAAGAGTTGTCAGTCATTCATAAGATCACGTAGAAAGTGTAAGTAAATGTAGTAAATACAAGTAGTTATAAAGCATTTAGTAGTGGTCAGTTAACTATTTTTGTGAGCTAATCTAAAGTGAGGACTATTCATGCTTTGTAAAGCATTTATAAAGGCGATTTAAAGACTCGTCAATCTTCTAAACAGTAAAATGTAACAAACACAACGCAGTGATACAGAACATAGAAATATTTAACAGCCTTTAAAAATGCTTTACAAGGCATGACTAGTCCTCACTTTAGATGAGCTCACGAACATAGTTAACTGACCACTACTAAATGCTTTATAACTACCCAAATTAATCCTTAATTACAGCATTAATACATGTTAATAAAGCATTTATTAACACATTAAGTAACCAACACTATATGTCTGAATAATAAGATGTATGAATGTACATTTAAATAGTTTATTAATCATTTACTTACTCGCTCTAAGTAATCGTATGAACCACGGACAACTCTTAAATAACTGGTTTATAAAAAATGCAATTCTTCATTTAGAAGTGATAAATTGATCATTAATAAAGGATGAAAATACAGTTATTAAACAAATTATAGATATGCTTTTAAATCAAGAAGAAAGCATTTATAGCTGTATTTATGAACTGCTTATTAATGTCTATTAATGCTTTATGAATGATGAATTAATGGTTTACTCATGCTTAACTAATGATTATTAGCGTGTAGTTATTATAAAGTGTTACCCTATTTTATTATGTTATTCTTTATTATTACTGCTGAAAATTGTAATATTTTTGTGGATTCTTGGCAAATACAAAGTTCAAAAGAACAGCATTTATTTGAAATAAATAATCTTGAATGTCTTTACAGTCACTTTTGTTCAATTTAATGCAAACTTTCTAAATAAAAATGATTTCTTAAAAAAATACACTGACCCCAAAACTTAAAGTTAAAAACTTAAAGTAATGGATTATAGTATGACAACAGATAATCTCATAATAATAATAATACTAGTGCTTAATTGTCATAATCATCAATGTTACAATGGATAATAATAATCTCACAAGACAAAAAAAAAAAAAGTTTATGATTTTTTTTCCCCTTTTGGTTTCAGGGGTGGAAAAGGCATGGACATGTTATTTGTGAGATTCACCCTGTCAGCCAGCTTTGGGTCGTAACTGCAGTCCCAAGACACAGCGTGTAAAACAGCCACAGTTGACTGGAACAGTAAAAGTTTCACAACTACATCATTTAAGCTTCATTGCAACAATAGGGTGGATTTGTGGTTAGTTGACTGGGACAAGGAGCCTCCACCCGAGAAGTTATGGGCGACGTTCACATCAGGGAGGAAAAATTGTGTTAGCAAAGCCATTGTGTGTGTGTGAGAGAGAGAATATGGGAGAGGCAGGTGGAGATATTTATGAACACATGATGAGTGACACAGTATTTAATGAATCTATCTCCAGGTTAAAAGTTTAGTTCACTCAAAAATGACTCACCCATTACTCACCCTCATGACTGTAACACCTTCATTCATTTACGTAACAAAAATCTTTATAATGAAATCTGAAATATTTCCACTACCACTTTGACGCTTAAAAAAGAGATTTAAAAAGATTTTTAAAAAATGAGCGGATTAGTACAAATCAATTGCTTTGTATGATTAACAAATTTAATTGAGCCTTTTATTCACATATAAACATTTATCAACTCACAACTTAGTTGTGCTAAACGCAAGCTCCCGTGGAAGAACCAATGAGGTTCATTCTCGTGTTATGCATCACGTTTGAGCTTCTGCAAGAACCAATGAGGTTCATTCTCTTGTTACGCATCACGTTTGAGCTTCCGCAAGAACCAATGAGTTTCATTCTCTTGTTACGCATCATGTTTGAGCATCTGCAAGAACCAATGTGGTTCATTCTCTTGTTACGCATCATGTTTGAGCATCTGCAAGAACCAATGAGGTTCATTCTCTTGTTACGCATCACGTTTGAGCTTCCGCAAGAACCAATGAGTTTCATTCTAGTGTTCCACATCACGTTTGAGCTTCAGCAAGAACCAATGTGGTTCATTCTCTTGTTACGCATCATGTTTGAGCATCTGCAAGAACCAATGAGGTTCATTCTCTTGTTACGCATCACGTTTGAGCTTCTGGAAGAACCAATGAGGTTCATTCTCTTGTTACGCATCACGTTTGAGCTTCTGGAAGAACCAATGTGGTTCATTCTCTTGTAACGCATCATGTTTGAGCATCTGCAAGAACCAATGAGGTTCATTCTCTTGTTACGCATCACGTTTGAGCTTCCGCAAGAACCAATGAGTTTCATTCTCTTGTTACGCATCATGTTTGAGCATCTGCAAGAACCAATGAGGTTCATTCTCTTGTTACGCATCATGTTTGAGCATCTGCAAGAACCAATGAGGTTCATTCTCTTGTTAAGCATCACGTTTGAGCTTCCGCAAGAACCAATGAGTTTCATTCTAGTGTTCCACATCACGTTTGAGCTTCAGCAAGAACCAATGAGGTTCATTCTCTTGTTACGCATCATGTTTGAGCATCTGCAAGAACCAATGAGGTTCATTCTCTTGTTACGCATCACGTTTGAGCTTCTGGAAGAACCAATGAGGTTCATTCTCTTGTTACGCATCACGTTTGAGCTTCTGGAAGAACCAATGTGGTTCATTCTCTTGTAACGCATCATGTTTGAGCATCTGCAAGAACCAATGAGGTTCATTCTCTTGTTACGCATCACGTTTGAGCTTCCGCAAGAACCAATGAGTTTCATTCTCTTGTTACGCATCATGTTTGAGCATCTGCAAGAACCAATGAGGTTCATTCTCTTGTTACGCATCACGTTTGAGCTTCCGCAAGAACCAATGAGTTTCATTCTAGTGTTCCACATCACGTTTGAGCTTCAGCAAGAACCAATGTGGTTCATTCTCTTGTGACGCATCATTTTTGAGCATCTGCAAGAACCAATGAGGTTCATTCTCTTGTTACGCATCACGTTTGAGCTTCTGGAAGAACCAATGTGGTTCATTCTCTTGTTACGCATCATGTTTGAGCATCTGCAAGAACCAATGAGGTTCATTCTCTTGTTACGCATCACGTTTGAGCTTCCGCAAGAACCAATGAGTTTCATTCTAGTGTTCCACATCATGTTTGAGCTTCAGCAAGAACCAATGTGAATAAAAGCCTAAATCAATCTGTTCATCATATAAAGTGATTGAGTCTCTTCATAAAATTTGGATTAAACCCCCTCAATTCATATGGATTAGTTCTACAATCTCTTTTATGATCTGAACTTTTTGAAGTATCAAAGTGGTAGTTGGTTTGAACTGTCAAAGTAGGGCCAGAATTCATGTAAAATATCCTCATTTGCGTTTTGAAGGCAAACCAAAATCTTAAAGATTTGGAAGTCACAAGGGTGAATAATTGATGACATCTTTTTTTTTTTTTCATTTTTGCGTGAACTAACCCTTTAAAAACCTATGACATCACTCTCTCAAAGCTCCTCCCCCTCTTTACTGTTAGTGTACCTTCTCTTCTTGAGCAGAGGGGTCTTTGATGATCTCCATTGGAGGAGGGAGGGGAGTGTGTGACTCGTCCTCTGGCTCTTCCTCCCCTCCACTGTGCATTCCTGATGAAGATTTGGAGAGTGTTCCCTCTTCTTTACGCACTCTCTGCAAACACAAGAACAAGTCATTAAGAAAATTCATAGTGTTAAAAGTTCTCAAACACCCCAGTTAAATTCACCTTGTAGAAGTGTGCTTAAATGTATTTAATGTGCAATTGTAGTGTACTTGCAATCTTAAAAGTATATTTAAAGAAAACTATTGCATAATATTCATGGAATAAAAGGCATGTTATTTTATATTACATGAATAGTTAATATATTTTAAATGTACAACTTCATCATTACGAATGTGTAATTACAAATATACTTAAAGGATATTTTAATTGACCATAAATGCTTGAAGTTGTACATTGACAACAGAAGTAATTGAATGGCATGTAAATATGTACTTTAAGTCCTATTACGTGGGTCAAACAAATGAATTGTAAATGACAAGCAATTAAGTGCTCGAAACAATACATTCAGTTCACACTTAAGTATATTGTTAAAGCATACTATTTCAGTATTACATACTTTTGATATGAATTATACATCAAATTGTACAAATTGAGGAGATCTATGATTATAAGTGTTGAATAATCACAATATAAAACCTCCAAGACCATGCGTTGTGGCACAGAGTTTTGCACCCCTTAAATTCTAGTTTATAGAACAATCATTGATACTTTACAGTATATTGAACACTGGTGTCATATTACTGAAACTGTATTAAAAAACCAAACCATAAACAACCCGTAATGTAATTAGGGTTGGGCATCGTTTGAATTTGAACGATTCTGATTCCGATTCCTTGTTTCGATTCCGGTTCCTAACGATTCTCGATTCCGATTCTTTTAAGAGGCAGGGTTAAAAAAAGTTTAGCTAACCTTGCTAACCAACGGCCTTTCTGAAGGAAATACTCCTTCTGTAAAAATACTCCTTTTGTCACAAATTTTGCATTTTGCCAAGATTTCTTTATTTTTAGAAAAGTGAAGCCACACTTTGGATCGCCGACGTAAGGTACTCATGTTCGACTCGCGTGGTTATGCCAACACTTCCGGTAGACGCTTCTTCGTTGGTGTTGTTCAGCGGTTTCTTCTTCCGCTCGGTGGACTGTGAATATCGAAACTAGGAATCGAAATTTTAACTTTTGAACGATTCCGGGAAAAACGGAAAGTTAGTCTCGGTTCCAATCGATACTCGATTCTCGATACCCAACCCTAAATGTAATGGCAATGAATTGCAGCGATATTATCACCTAACAAAATGGCTAACAAAACCTTTTAACTGTGATGAAATCACTGTAACACACAGCCTCAAGTGGTTTATTGCTGAAATGATTGTTAAAGAATTTGCTGTTGCTCTGGAAGACAGCAGGCATGGTTAACATGGGCCATTGTGTTGGGGTTCACATACCCTGCTTCAGAAATACAGAGGCCCTTTTGTACCAGACACTATATGGCACACAGCTTTAAAAAGTCAGGCTAATCATCACCCTTCGATCTGAAGGGCCATATCAGCCCTTTAATACAGCGTTTATACAGCACACAGAACAAGAGGGCTACTTTTCTCTCTATGGTCATGGTTGCTTAAAAAAAAAAGTGATGAGGTTATTAAACACTCTGACGTAAAACTGCTGTCCACTGTCAGACGAGATGTAAAATATCCTCAATCAACCTTGTTTTGGGGAATTCTTATGACAATGTAAAAATATTCTGAAATAAACAAATGTAAATGGCGAAACTAAAGGGTGAAAAAGGATAGAAGAAATTTTCTGGTCTGAATGTAAAAGAACAACACAAAAAACCCCAGTATAAATCACCATTGTATTTCAGAGAGTAATTAGCATTATGGTTTTGTGGACATACTGTATTATTAAAGTATTGTTTAAAGTACCTTGGAATACCGCAGCATAAAAATAATCATTTTTGACCATGGTATCACCAATTCATCCAATCAGATGGATCTACGTTCCTCAATGTAGAGTGAAAAATCAATAATTTACAGTATAATACCTCTTCCAGGGTGTCATCCTGTAGTTCGGGTGGCCCCAGATCAATGCTCTTGCGTCCATCACGTTTCTGCTTCTGTTTGCTAGGGATCTTCTTGATGTTGCTGCCATGACTGAGACGCCGTACGGGGCTGGTCAACCATTTCTTCAGTGTATTCCCAGAGCGCTTGGGTCCAGGGGAGCTACTCTGCAGGGAGTTCAGGGATGGTTGTGGCTGCAGTGTAGTCACGGACTCGGTCTTCCCTTCAGGACCGCTAACTGTATAGTTTTCTGTAGGACGAAGAGAGAGAAGGGGGAATGAATGTAAATATCACGACAGGTGAAGACCAGACTTAAAATAATGGTTTCTGAATCACAAATTAAACACTTAAACAATGGGTTCTCACTAGGGCTGGGTAATAAATATCGATTTCTCGATATTAATCGATTCTCATTTTTACAAACCGATATCGATTCTTAAATCTCAAGAATCGATTAGTCATCCTGTTTCATTTGAATGAATGAGACATTGTACCGCGGCTGCGCACATCCAACAAATCGCACTAATCTTTGTCCTGCTTTGTTACTATTGATATGAAACAAAGTCTCAATTTTCAAATTACGTCCATTTTCTTTAGAAATTCGAAAACATAAATAGCGTTTTGCCGTTTTGGCGCTGTGGCGTGAGATCGCTCTGGCGCAGCCGCGCTGATCTCTCTTCCGGGTTAATAATACCAGTCACAGCACGAAATAAACATGAATGAGCATCTGAAAGTGTGTTAAAACATAGAGTACAACTTATCGAAATCCGTATCATGTCACATTGATTCGCTCAATCTGCGTTTCAACCGTGGAAAGACGTCAATTAAACAGCTTCAATGTCATGTATCGTCATATTTACCTCAGAAAACCCACATAAACTCGTTAGTCCACACTCGTTAGTGTTCTTCAATATTTAATGCATATTTGGCAAGTTTTTATGACAGCTACCATTTAAATGTTTATATTTCATATAATCTTCTTATTATAAAAATAAATAAAAGTGTAATTTAAGTGTTTGTATAGCTACAAAACAGTTAATTATTACCTTCATAGGTTAATGAAGCCTAGTAGGCTACAACTAGACTATATATATAGACCATAGTTTACAGCATTTAAGAGATTTGATTTCCTTGAGAAAAATTGCCATTTATTGTAACTGATATCCAAAATAATCGATATTGAATCGAATCGTAATCGAATCGAATTGCAAGCTTGTGAATCGAAATCGAATCGAATTGTGAAATTTGTCTCAATACCCAGCCCTAGTTCTCACACACTCAGCCCAATGGTCAAAAAATAGACAGTCCCAACCAAACCTCACTTACTTACTTAAACAGAACAAAGCAACAGCGTTTACACTTTTCAGGGAACTACACAATATGGACAGTATCTGTGGCATGCTGTTGGTTACCAACCACAGACAATATTCCAAAGACTTGCCTTTTAGAAAAAAAACAACCATGAAATACATTTACATTTACAAGCGGACTTCATTGGAGTTCTTTAGTCAACATGTTTATTTGTTTGAGTTGTTAAATTGTTAATTGTTGTTCTGTGGTGGGACTACTTTTCTAGGTGGGGAACTTCTTATGCATTGCTGATGTTATGTTGGTCATATTTCATTAACACATCACTCCTCACTGGTACTTTCTTTACCACATTTAATCAGGCTTGGGTATCCCCACCCCATAATTCATATAACACAGTCTCATCCCAAAAAGTCATATAACTGACGTTTTGGGACGTATTTTGACCATACGTCAATATCCGCCTTTTTAGGGCCCCCTTAAACGTCGGTAGATGGCGATCCCGGGCCGTCATACAACTGACGCTTTACCTTTAACGTCAGTTAGGTGACGGGTTAGGTTTAGGTATGGGGTAGAGTTAGGATCCCATAACCTCATCTACCGACGTTTAAGGGGGCCCTAAAAAGGCGAATATTGACGTATGGTCAAAAGACGTCCCAAAACGTCAGTAATATGATGTCTTGGGATGAGACCGGGTTGATTCATACATATTACACATGGAAAATTGGTCTCCTTTCATTCCCATTCAAAAACACTTGAACGAGTTTAAATCACTTCTCATATTTCCTTCTCACAGAGAAAAAAAAGCTCAACAATTAGTCAGGAAAAAAAGGACATTGAATGGAGACTTGTGATCCATAACTGAATCTCTATTGTTGGAGAGAGCTGCGTCCAAATCATCAGTTCTCAATCTCCTAGCCTTCGACATCAGACCACCAGATACTCGTGTGTATTATCTTGACTCTTAGCTACTTGGAAGCTGCACTCCACTGGTTTTGACAACGATCTGTAGATCATTCTCTTCTCTCCTATCTTGATCTAAACCTAGATCTTTCAATTTCCAAAAGGGGTGCCTCAGGGTTCAGTGTTTGGCCCTCTTCTCTTCTCAATATACACAGCAATATCATCCAAATTAAAATCAGGCCAAAAATACTGTCCACAAAGCTAAAAAAAAAAGAGTTTCAAATCCACCAACATTCCTGACCAACTCTGTTAACTGGATACCAGATATCACAATTCACAGGAAATAATGACAAACATCTATAGAGCTTCACAGTACTGCTATTCTCTTCTGATGTAACTACACACTCAGAGATATAGATCACATTCCACAAATGCAAACCACACACACCTAACAAAGTTAATATTCTTCTTGTGTAGAAACTCAAACAGGCATTACACAAAGCAGATTACATCTAACTCTTTGACCTTGTAACCAAGTTAAACGATACTGCTATATCATTAAAAATGTATTGTAGATTATTGCAACATAAATAGCCTTTTCTACCGTGTTATGCTGAGCGTGTGGGTTAGACGATTTGATTGGTAATCACTGTATCATAATAATGATGACTAATAAGTTCATTTTCGTAAATTCTTTTCTAACCATGCTGGGAAAAACAAGATTTACAGTACACACTGTGACAGTTGCAATTAGGTACACATCGAATCTATCTAAATATTCGAACAATTTTGCATTACATCTCATTGAGGCATCACTCAACATGTTCTATGTGTTTTTCTCTTTTCCTTTAACAGACCCTGACTCATGATAAGATCATCAAGTAAAATGACCAGCATAAGAACTTGTTCTCCAAGTATCCTGTGTGTTGATGACATCTGTGTGTGTTGACAACGGGCTTTAATGGCTGACTTATTAGAGGAAGTGACCTTGTTAGAATTGATGATACAGATTGTGACGAAAACATAAGCGTATCTCTCCTAAAGCACATCGATACTACAGAAATCCCCAAATGGTTTAAAATGACCTTCTATCGGCCTACAATCCACCGCGTTCCTTAAGATCACTAAATCCAAGGCTTCTGGTCATTCCAAGTCCGCATTTAGCTCCTAAACTCTGGAATATAGCCTTCCTGATATTGTTCGAGGCTCAAACTCGCCGTCCCAGTTTAAAACTACATTAAAGACGCATCTCTTTAGCCAAGCATTCACATAATGTTTACCTTTTATTCCTCTGTTGAATCAGATCGAATGCATTTAATATTATGAACAGCAGCTATGCTAATTATTTCCCATTTGCTTTTCTGCTGTTATCTCGGGATGCTAGTCCTGAGGCGTTGAAGACAAAATGGCGTACGTTGGTCAGCACCAGTTTGTATCCAGCCTCTCACGGAGACTTCCCAGACATCAAACTGACATTGAATCAACGTGGAAACGACGTCTCTTATGACATTGAAACAACGTTGATTTGCTCATCGAATTAACGTTGAACCAACGTCAGACGCGGCATTCTTCAAAGCTAAATGAAATCGAAAATTGGTTTGCTTTCATAACGTTGAAACAACGCGTTGATTTCAAGTTGATTTTCCGTTAGTTTTGAAAGAATGACGCGTCTGACGTTGGTTCAACGTTAATTCGATGATATTGATATCGATATTGACGTACGGTCAAAAGACGTCCCAAAACGTCAGTTATATGACGTCTTGGGATGAGACCGGGTTGTTCAAAACGGTGCTATGTTTGAGCAAACAAGACAGTAATTAAGGCAATATAAAGTTAGATTTGGAAACGTATACACCCAACTCAGAAACCGAAAAAAATATATGATGAAAAATGTTACTTTTATGGTGTCAAAACACTCTTTGTCCAGTATCTTCACGAAATATAATCAAAACTTTCCACAAATTCGCGGGAGACCGTCTTCTGGCAGCAAGAGAAAAATAGCGGAAAGACAGCCTGCTTGATCCTGACGAACTATGTAAAAAGTCCGTGTTACATTTAACCCCGCGTTAGGTTGTGCCCCGCGCTCCCCTAATGCCCTAAATTACAATGCATTCTCACCCCAAGGCGTCACCTTTGACCATGCTTCAATATTTGACGTTTTAGGCGCCCTTTAGCGTCACTTACATGACGCGATCCTACGGCGTCATCTAACTGACGCTAAAGGAAAGCGTCAGTTAGAGGACGCGGTTAGGTTTAGGTGTGGGGTGGGGGTAGGGTACACGCGATCCTAGGGCGTCATCTAACTGACGCTAAAGGGCGCCTAAAGCGTCAGATATTGAAGCATGTCCAAATGCTTCCCAAGGCGTCAGTTAAGTGACGCCTTGGGGGTGAGAATGGGCTGCATGATTAACTAAATGTATTTTTCCATGTACATTTCTGAAATGCACTTTCTGTAAAGCTCCTTTGAAAAGCATTATTGAATTAAAATCACAGCAGTCTAAACTGTGCATCGAACTGAAACAGAGTCTTGAAACAGCTCTTAGACAAGAACGAATGCTGTTCTTCACACATACACACAGTTTTGTGTTTGTCTGGCCTGGTCGGTACACGTGTAAGCCGGCCATCATAGGAGTGTGTTTCCAGTTTCACAGTGTGATGGAGTGTGTCCCTGTCGAGTGCTGCAGTGCTTTTTGAAGAGCGAACCTGCGTAACAAACAGACTGACTGACGACAGCGTACAGTCCTGTGTGTGAATGTTTATGTGTGGAGTGAAGAGATGGTTTGATGAGAGCAGGCATTAAGCATTGCCCTTTACACACAGTCGCGCGCACACACACACATTTCTCCTGCTGCAGCCTCAGTTGGCCGGGAGAGAGAGAGACAGACAGAGAAAGAGAGTTCTTTGTTCTTATAAGTGGTCACATCAGAAAGCAGCATTTGGATCATATGACTAATTTTACTACACACCAAAACTAACTCCTATTGACACATATCAGATTCCAGCTAATGGAAAGCTACTGCAAGAAATGTTGCAGTGGAT